CTCCTTTAGAGCCTGTCAAATAATGAAAGTATTTTTTTAACTCTCATTTTACATTTAGTGTTTAAAACAGTGTAGCAGTTGTGTTTGAATGGGATGGAAATAGTACTGGACAACCACTGCTGCAGTTGCATTAAAACTGTTACAATCAAGCTTTTCAAAGCAAAATCTCCCTCTTTGGAGCCAGGTTTGTGTCTGACACAAACACAGGAGCAGGTTTAGCTTCTGTCTCAGTACAGGAGTTGGGTGCAAACTGGTCTAAGCGTTCACTGCAAATCATACGCAGGTAGCAGACACCCAAGAGGGTGAAGGTGTTCTTTAGAGAGGGCATGAGAATTGTTACTGTACTCTCTTAGACCTACCAAAACTGAAACACCAGGTTAAAAACAAGGGACATAGCTGGACATGATGGATGGATGGATGGATGGATGGATGGATGGATGGATGGATGGATGGATGGATGGATGGATGAAGGCTGCATGCAGAACTGAGGTCTCTGGAGACTCCAGCAAGAGCTTTGTACGCAAATATTCCTCTTGTGTAAATCTGTCCCAGCCTCCTACTGAAATGCTTCTTAAAAAGTCCCATTTAGCTGCATTTGTAAGCTGGCCAAATCACCTTAGAAATTGGTGACCTTGCTGATGCTGCTCTAGCAATGGCCAGACCTTAAAGCTGCAGGAAAGAAAATTCCACATCCAAATGTGGCATTTCACCTCAAGGTAAAATCATTTCTGGAGTAATGATAAAAAATATGGGGTAGCCTAAAACAAGTCTTGCCCTTAGTACCCAGGGTTTGTTTAACAGTATTACAGTTCAGTCATTTATTACAAAAGCCCCAAACATCTGCATGGTTTCAGAGGTAGGAAATAGCTTGTATCTATCATTTAGACCCCGCTTTAATTAAGGGTAGAAGTAAGAACGATCCTACTTCAGTCAACGTGTTGTTCCTGGCTTTGTGTCTGTTCTGCTGGGGCCATGCAAGCAGAGCACCCTGTGCCCATGGCCCCGGGGCTTGGGCAGCAGGGAACAGTCCTGCTTCACTAGTTCCCACGTGGTCCTTACCATCAGGCCAGGGAGTGCTCCTGTTGTAAGGATTGTTCAGCACGGAGTAGTAGTTCCTGCTAACCAGGCTGCCTTTTGCCCCTGGTGTCCCCACCTCTGCCTCTTTCCATCTCTTGGACTCTTCTTATACAGCAGCTGTGGCTGCAGCTCCCTGAAGCAATCAGCCCAGCAGCAAAAATAGGTAAAAGCTGATAAGTTTGTTCATTTTAGTTCTTGACTGATGCTGGTGTGTGCTGGTGATTGGGAACTGCTGGGTTTGGGGCTGTTCAACACTCAGATAATCTGGTAATTGTTGCTGCTTAGGTGTCTTGTGTCCTTTCTCGCTGCGGTTGGCAGGCAGTTTGAACACAGCCTGTCCTGGTTGCTGCTTTGTTGTTTAGGTTTATTTTTAATGTTTCGATAACATCCATGGCCCCAGGGGGTAAAACTTAAATGATAAAAATTAATTCTTGTCAGATTCATTGTTTGAATTTCAAGATGTTTTGCTGTTGCAGAAACGTTACAGTGTCAGCAGCAGGATCATGAGGCCAGGTTAACCCAAATTGCCTTGCAAACCCTTGTAATTTGGGATTTGGAGGAAAATTATTCAGCTTAACACCACTAATTCATGCTGGAAGGCTGGTGATAATAAGTTCTTTAGATGTCTAGACGTACGAGTACACTAAGTGCAGATAAGTGAAATCATCTGTGCATGTGTTGCATGTAGAAGGAGATGCAGAATTGCAATAATTTATACCAGACTGCCATAAATTCTGGCTGGGAGATGGTTGATGTGTTCTGAAGGGTATCAGCCCCCCAGGTTTCACTACAGCCTTCTGGTACAAAATGATCTCTGCTTAACCGTAGTTGACGTGCTTTAAGATGCTGGCAAGTGCCTCGGCATTGGTATGAGTGACTTCAGCAAGCCCACTGGTTGATGCTTTTAGGTTTTGGGGTTAGCTCTGCAAAAGCAGTTCAGCGTGACTTAACCCAGAAGGTAGAATGAAGAGCGCTTATATATATATAGGAAGCAAGGTGGATGATTGGTGAGGAGGGATGTCATTGCTGTAGGGGATGTCAAGGCAGGGTACTAATTTGTGATTTTTTTACTGTGTTGAAGAATGATGTGTTTAGGTTTGTCTTCAGTAGATGGAACTTCTTAGTGATTTGTTGATGGAGCACTGCAGTGTTAGAGAGAAGAAAGGGTGAGGCTCTGCCAAACGGATGCTTCAAACATGTATCAAGTCAACACTCATTTTCTTGACCATTGGAATGGTTTCTTTGTAGCCAGAAGGTTCCTGCGGGGGGGTGGGGGGGGGGGAGGAAGGAACTTTGCTATAGTGAATTTAATAATAATCTCATCACCCCAGGCAATTCTATTACCAAATTTGAAATTGCAAAATTCATAGAAGGAAGGTGAAGTTCCAGTCTCTGGTTAGTGCCAGGCTCCTGTCATGCTGTTGTGGACTACAGATACCCTGCTTCTGCTGGAGCCTCTTAAACTCTTCTGTTGCTATTCCTACAAATATCCCAGTGAAGCGAGTTGCTGATTTTCCTAGTTTGATAATTTCCAGCCTTGGCAGATGCTTGGCCCAGGCTGAGCCGTTAAGAGAAATGGGAATCAGTCTTAGTGAGATGTGTGCGGTCTGCGGCAATGAGCCCTCTCCTGTTCTGGGAGACTGGGAGTGGGAAGCTTGTGTTTGAGGAGCAAAGGTGAGTTTCCACTTCTCCTGCAGTGTGAGTTGGCTGGTCACGAAGGTTAGAGTGTGCACAACATTGAAGGACCTGCAGGAGATCACTTTCTTATTGCCCTTCTGAAACCAGTTTGCTCGGAGATGTTTTAAATGGGCGTTGCTAACTAGCCTAATGACACCCATCCCAGTGCTATAGTATTTCCTTCTCTCTTCAGGTGATTCAGCCTCAGGCACAGGCAGGGTGATCGCTGGCTGAAGGAGGATTTAGCTCAGTAACATGAGATTAATTTATTCTCACAGGCCATGCACACCACAGGGACTGAGACCCTGTGTAACCCTCGCTCTGGCCTGCTGTACTTCATGGATCTGTTTCTTCCTTTCCCCTATCAGTAGTTACTTGCCTTCCAGTGGAGTCCATGGGTGGCCGGTAAGAGCCTTGGCAGCAGAAGGGGATACCTGTGGCACTCTTACTCTGCCTGCACAACATGGGCTGTAGGATTTCGTCTTGTGTAACTGAGCACCGGATTTTAAGTGCTGTTTCATACCCACATGAACACAGCAGCATGTACAACATCCCAGACCTTTCCTGTGTGGAAGCGCTGTCTCTTGCAGTGATTGTCTAATCCTGGCAGGAGCCTCTGTGCTCATACCGGCAGCAGGAGCCTGGCAGCAGCTTGCAGAGATTCACTGCTTCCATTTCATGGTTCAGTTAAGATGAACCCTAAGGCTCATCTCTCTGAAAACTAGGGTCCAGTTTCTGTGCAAGTCCTTCTCTGCCAGTAGCAAAGCCAAGTAACCCAGTCTACTGGAAATGTACTTGGAGATTGATGCCAGATTCCCAAACTGGAGAGCATCAGCTCGCAGCTCAAGTGGTGCTGACATTTGCAGGAAGGCTTTCTCTTCTGAGCTGTCAGATGTTAGCTAGTGTATGTAATTAACTTGGTATAATTTTGCTTCAGAATGAAATATTCATTCAAAAGAGACTTAAAAAACCATGCTGATGTTTTTAATGTCTGGGTAGCAAGTGATGCTGTGTGGAGCAAGGCATACATTTATTGTTGGAGAGGTTAGTTTTCATGGCAACCCTGTTCATTACTGTGGCACACAGAAGTTCCAAAGGCTTTTACTGTCCATCACTTCTTAGGTCTTGTGAGAAATCTGAATACAACCCCCCCGACGTACATTAACAGTGGAGACAGAAAGCATTAGGAAAACGCTGCAGCCTGAAATGCTCTGGTTGTCTGATTACCCAAAAGGGCAAACATCAAACTTGAGTTTTGCACAGTAGTTGTTTTCTAGAGTTTGAAAATAAAGCTCACGACCAAGCAGGAGGAGAGGGCATGGAAAGGGAAAGGGTAAAACAGAGATTTCTTTTGCCTCTGCGGATATTCAAGAGTTAGCTATTAGAAGTGATAAAACAGCAAAACCAAACCAAAAGCCCACAGCTCGCAGAAGGTGGAATACCAAAAAGACTCTGCCCTGAATTGGTGAGAATTGAGGATTTGCTGAGAAGAAACAGTTATGAAAGTTTAGAAATGAAATGGTCCCATTTGACTGAAAGATGGAATGGGTGGTGTGTGTAGTTACTGCATCCGGTTCCCACTTACCTCCCTGTTATGGAGTTCACTGACCACTTCTGGTCTCTCTAAATCTGTTCTGTGTTTTGAGTTCAACACTGCAGCTGGCATTGTTTCTTCTTTTCCAGATGGTAGATTTAGATTAGATATTAGGAAGAAATTCTTTAGAAGATGATATACCAAGTGGAGCTGCAAATGGCTTTAATAAATAATAGAATCCCAGACTGGTTTGGGTTGGAAGGAACCTTAAAGCTCATCCAGTTCCATCCCCTTGCCAGGGGCAGGGACACCTTCCACTAGAGCAGGTTGCTCCAAGCCCTGTCCAACCTGGCCTTGAACACTGCCAGGGATGGGGCAGCCACAGCTTCTCTGGGCACCCTGTGCCAGCGCCTCAGCACCCTCATAATGAAGAATTTCTTCCTAAAATCTAATGTAAATCTCCCTTCTCTCAGTTTAAAGCCATTCCCCTTGTCCTGTCCCTACACACCCTTGTAAAAAGTCCCTCTCCAGATTTCATGTTGGCTGCTTTAGGCACTGGAAGCTGCTCTGAGGCCTCCCTGGAGCTTTCTGCAGCTCTCTCAGCCTGTCTCCATAACAGAGGTGCTCCAGCCCTTGGAGCATCTTTGTGGAACGTAACTGGAATGCATGTAGATCTTGTTCAAAAGAATTGTTTTCTTTCCTTCTCTTGCAGTTTCTTGTGCAGCCAACCCCTTGAAGGAGTAGGAATTCTTCAACCTCTTGTTTCAAAAGACTGTGGACTGTTTCCTGCTGTGTAACTCCCTTCTCTCTCCCATTTCAACGAACAAAAGACCCTAAGAGGAGGATGAGGCAGCTGAGAGGAAAACCCAAAAAAGAGACCTCCAAAGATAAAAAGGAGAGGAAACAGGCAATGCAGGAGGCCCGGCAACAGATCACCACCGTCGTGCTGCCCACACTGGCGATTGTAGTACTGCTGATCGTTGTGTTCGTGTATGTAGCCACTCGCCCAAACACAACAGAGTGATGCAGCTCCTCACACTCCCAGCCTTGGGGTTTTAACTGTTTTATCAAAAGCCAGAAGGAACTCCCTGCCGCTCCCGTAGTACTTCACAGAGGAACTTGTCAGCTTCTCACTCTTTCTCTCATAGGGTCCTGTGGAGCCTCTTTAGGAATGTAACATAAAACGTATTTGTGAGCGTGCCGGTACGTTTTATGGTCAGTTCTTGTGCCTTTCAGACTTTTAAAATGGTGTTTTTCTGAAATCCATTGGAAGCTCTAGATTGTAAAAGGAAATTGGGCTCTGCTATAAATTTGTATAAAATCAGCTTTCAGCTTTTATCACTGTTACGGATAATGTTGCCCCCATGAGCTCCTGGATGTCTGTTTCAGAACTTCCAAAGAAGTGCATTTCTTCTTTGTACTTACTGTCATATGAAGTGCTTTGATTCAGAAAGGAGATATTTATTTTTTGAATAAAAGAGAGAAGTCTTGGAATCTTCAAATTATTTTGCAAAGAATGTGACTTATTGTGAAAGCCCACATTGTGTAGTGATTTTTTTCATTAAACACACCAGAGTTCCCCTAAAAAGAGTTTCTTTTGCTGTGAGATGCCACCACATCAATTGAATTCTTCAGGATCTGCCAAAAGGAATCTTACAGAGGTTAGAAATGGAGGTTTCTATGAGTTTATGGGGAAGTAACTAACAATGAGTGATGTGAACACAGACAGTTGTTTATCTGAATGTTAAATATTTAAATCTGTGTAAGTGGCAATAAAAGATGATTTTGGATACAACCCTTGATTTGATTTGATTTATTTTAAAGGAAGGAAAAGTAACAGTGGTAGAACTTAAGTCTGCTGTGCTTGCTGCAGTGAGCTGCTGTCCTGTGACATTCCACTCTCTTCCTCACTTCAGGGAGGCTGTGAGGAGAGCTTGAGTAGTTTTATTCCAGGTGATCAAGCCGTAAGTGCTTCAAGAATCCCATATTCCTGTACAGCCCTTTCTCATCCAAATATTTCAAGGCACTTGGTAAGCATTTACCTTCAGCAGACTTGAGGGAGGAAATCTGAGAACCCTTGACTGCTGCTTAAATACAAGCCAAGCAAGGAAGAATGGGATGCTGCAGTGCCCTGAAGCGCAACAGGGGATGTTTCTGTGCCAAAAGGCAAAGGCCCCTTGAATCATCCTTGTAGGTGCTACCTTTTGGCACAAGGATGGTCCTAGCCCCTCACATGTGCACCAGTGACAGCGCTGCCTTGCTTCTGCGTTATCCTGAGTATTGATCCTGTGTGAGTGGTGCTGCCAGCCAAAACTGTTCTCTGAATCATGTAATTGTAGAATCCCAAGTTGGAAGGCACCTCAGGGATTGTCTGGTCCGACCTTTCTAAGCAAAGCATGATCTAGACTAGATGGCCCAGCACTTTGTCCGGCTGAATCTGAGAAATGTCCAACACTGGGGAGTCCAGCACTTCCCTAGGGAGATTATTCCAGTGGCTGGTTGTTCTCAATGTGAAAATTTTTCCTGTTCTCTCCAGTTGGAATCTCCCCAAGTGTAACTTGTGCCCATCACCCCTTGTCTTTTTCATGTGACTCCTTGTAAAAAGACACTGTCTGCCTTGTAGCTGCCCTTTAAATACTGGAACAGGGTGGTGAGGTCTCCCTGAGTCTTCTTTTCTCTAGGCTGAACAAATCCAGCTCTCAGCCTTTCCTCACATGGCTTCCCAATCCTTGGATTTTCTCTGTGGCTTCTCTGGACCCTCTCCAGGCTGTCCACATCTTTTTGTGTATCAGGGACCAAAACTGAACACAGTAGTCAAGGTTTGGCCTGACCAGTGTTGAGTATAGTGGGACAATGACATCATCATCTCTGCTGATGATACCCATGTTGGTGTCACCAGCACCCTGTTTGCTTTCTTTGTCGCAGGTGCACACTGGTCACTTCTCAAGATTGGTGTAAAAACGCTCTAGGCAAGCACATGTTGTTCCCTGCAGTGGATTTTGCCCTGAGGCATCACGTGGGTGAGTCTGGCCAGCTCTGAACTAACCCAGTTCAGAACAAGACACATACGTGGTGATGCTGGGATGTGCTCACCAAACCACGCACTGCCACTGGAAATTACTTGTGCTTTGGTACAGGAGCCGCTTCCTTCTGCTGGAGAGATCTGAAACGATGCAGCTGTAACAGTAATTGCTCAGTCTGCGCTATTTCACAGCTGCTCCTGTTCTCCTGGCACCAAATCCTTTCTGTCCTATTTTAATTTTATCCTCACTCCGGGATAAAATGAAATGGAGCTCCGGTCATTTGCCTGTTTCTGAAGGGAGGTTTTGAATAAAGCTATGCCTGAGGATGTGAGCAAACGCATGTGTGGTTTAGTTAGGTACTTGTGTTCTGCAGGGTGCTTGCTACCTTGGCTGTCTAGAAGAGAAGCAAAATTCCTGCCCATCTCTTCTATAGGTTCCTCTTTATCATCTTCATCTTTGTAGATTCTTAATCAGGGTTTTCCTGTGCCTGTTCAGTCCATGGTACTGTCTGACAGCTCTGTCAAAGTCCCTGTGATTTCCCGTCTCAGAGCAGCAGGTGTATTTCAGCCCCTTCCACCTGAGGGCTGTTTTATCAGCACAAGCAATAATTTGCCTTTGGAAAGGCTGTTCAGAGCCCTGAGGTATTTTCTCCTCCCTTAATTTTCTGCAAGAGCTGAGTCTGTGACACATAAGAGCAATTAACTGGCTGGTAACAACTGAAGAGGTAGCAGGTCAGCTGGGTTAGGTAGTATTTAAGATTACTTCTCTAATGAGATGTTTCATTTCTGCTGCTTTCTCTTCTGCACTCCCTTTCTCTCCTGTCATCTGTGAATTCCTCAGGTCACAATAATAATCTTCTCGGAGCCAAATGTTTATTAATATGAACTATAGCTTAATGCTAATAAGAGGCACTGTTGATTTCCGTCCCTGAAATGTGCAATTTTACTGGGTGCTAATTGAGAGGAAAACTTGCACATTCGGAATTGTTCCTTATGCAGAAGCCAAATTGATTTCACACTTTGATGCTTCAAAGGAAAAAGAGGAATGTATTTTTCTCTAGTAAACAATGAAGTTGGATTCTGACATTTTCAACCAAATTCCCTTTTGCTAGTGCTGGATGTGAGAATACACATTCGGAGAAGTGGGGGGGGGGGGTGGTGGTGGAAGCCTCTGTAGACAGGAGCTGTCAAAAATCTCTGGGAAGCAATGGGCAAGTAAATTAATGGCAGTTGCCCAAATGTCAGCTCCTGAGAACCTTCGCAGCCCAACGTGTAAGTGCGTCTCTGGTTTTTAAGGGTGCGTATTACTCCGACTGTCAGGTGCCTTCAAAACTGTTTTGGAAATAGGATTTCAAACTTTTCCCCGGCACACAGCAGCTCGTGGGCAAAATGGAATGATTTATTACAGGCATTTTACCAGAAAACTCATGCTGAGAGACTTCTTCCGCAGTGTCTATGGTACCTTTTGCTTTCCGTAAGCGCTCATTATCAGGTCAAGTCATTAAAACTTGCCGTTGACTTCTGATAAATCGAGTTACAGCAGCAATTTTTTACACCCTATTTTTCAAAGCATAAATCAAATCTGAGTCAAATACTTTAAGATCATGGTTTGAATGGAGTTTTGTAAATGCCTTCTAAGTGCTAAGAAAACAGTGGAATTGTGTCAGGTATCCTTGAGGTGGGTATCCTTGCCCATCGGTGTCAACCACGGCCCCACTCCCCAAAGCCAAGCAAGAGAAGCCAGCGCCAGTGCCCATGGTCTGAAGGAAGAACAACACATATTTTCAGAGCTCAGAGAAATTGGCTCTTGGTCTCCTGCTTCAATCCATCTACAAGAAAATATTTATTCACATCCTGATGTTCAGAAAATGGTGCTTTTAAATACAGGCAGCAGAGAAAACACACTGTTCTTCTTCCAGACTGTGTATGTTCGGTGCCTGGATAGTACATGCACAGGCCTGGATGCTGCCATAGCTCTGGAGGGTGTGAACTGGAACCTGCACTTGGATTCTCTGGATTGGATCTGCACCACAGAGATATTTCTTACCTGGAGAAGTTTCTTCCCAAGGCAGGTGGTTCCAGTTCACGCACCACACATGAGCAAGCTAAATCCTGCCATGCATGTCCCAGTCAAGTATCCCCATCATTGCTACAGGTGGAGCTGCCAGCTGCTGTTGTCTTCTCTGCACCATCTTTATTTGGCTGAAAAGTTTCAACCGAAACATTTCTTGTTATGGGGCTTCCATGGAATACTGAGGACTGGGACTTCATAGAATCACAGACTGGTTTGGGTTGGAAGGAACCTTAAAGCTCATCCAGTTCCAACTCCCTGCCATGGGCAGAGACACCTTCCACTAGAACAGGTTGCTCCAAGCCCCGTCTAACCTGGCCTTGAACACTGCCAGGGATGGGGCAGCCACAACTTCTCTGGGCACCCTGTGCCAGCACCTCAGCACCCTCATAGTGAAGAACTATTTCCTAATGTCTAATGTAAATCTCGTTCAGTTTAAAGCCATTTCCCCCTTGTCCTGTCACTATCTGTGTTTGTCGAAATTCCCTTTCCAGCTTTCTTGTATCCCCATTTAGGTACTGAAGACTTACAAGTCTCCCTGGAGACTTCTGGAGGATTTCTTGCTCCATCTGGAATTGTACAAGGGTTCACTTCAAGTAAAGTAAATCCTACATGTGTTGCAGGAATCCAGTGAGAGGTTGGTTTAGGACTGGTCTTTGCATTCAGACATGTTCTCTTAAGGTAACTGGACAAACATTCTCAATAAATCTGTTTTAAAGCCACTAGCAGTTTGCTGAAAAGTAGATTAGAGGAACAATCCAATGGCTTTGTTGGTTTAGGGACGCTGCAGTGCGGTGTATCTGTGTCCAGGGGTATTGCTCAATCCACTAGCAGTAATCTAGATGCAGTACATTAAATTACAGCCTATTTATGGATTTGAGGGGGCCCGTGTGATTAAATGGTAACTCTGACACAGTGAACTCTGAGATCTGAACCCTGCAGTGAGTTAAAAACAACAGAGTTCCCACATTGCTTTGGCCAATCCAAATGAGCTCTGCTATGACACGTCTTGCACCTAGTGTTTTCTCAACAGACTGCGGTGTCTGAGAAGAAAAAAAACCTTCCCTAGCACAAGGTTGAAGGTGTAAAATCTAGTGGATAGCTATGTTGCATAGAATTACATGGAAAATTGTGGTTGGGAATGATGTAATTGGCTGTTGTGGGTTGTAAAGCCACCGTCTGTATGATAAGGCCAAGGACCTTCTGGCCATGCCCTTAGCCTCCTTCCAGCTCTTTGGTCTCTGGGAGCTGCTGGGCAGAAAGTGGTGGGACAGAACACAGATCAGCACACACCTGAACTGGATGTGTAAATAGAACTATGATGACTCACTGACATTCATAGATCATAGAATCATAGAACAGTTAGGGTTAGAAAGGACCTTAAGATCATCTCGTTCCAGCCCCCCTGCCATGGGCAGGGACACCTCACACTAAACCATTCCACCCAAGGCTTTGTCCAACCTGGCCTTGAGCACCGCCAGGGATGGAGCATTCACAACCTCCCTGGGCAACCCATTCCAGTGCCTCACCACCCTAACAGGAAACAATATCCTCCTTATATCCAATCTAAACTTCCCCTGTTTAAGTTTTAACCCGTTACCCCTTGTCCTATCACTACAGTCCCTGATGAAGAGTCCCTCCCCAGCATCCCTATAGGCCCCCTTCAGATACTGGAAGGCTGCTATGAGGTCTTCACGCAGCCTTCTCTTCTCCAGGCTGAACAGCCCCAACTCTCTCAGCCTGTCTTCATACGGGAGGTGCTCCAGTCCCCTGATCATCCTTGTGGCCTCCTCTGGACTTGTTCCAACAGTTCCATGTCCTTTTTATGTTGAGGACACCAGAACTGCACACAATGCTCCAGGTGAGGTCTCACAAGAGCAGAGTAGAAGGGCAGGATCACCTCCTTCGACCTGCTGGTCACGCTCCTTTTGATGCAGCCCAGGATGTGGTTGGCTTTCTGGGCTGCAAGCGCACACTGAAGCCGGCTCATGTTCATTTTCTCATTGACCAACACCCCCAAGTCTTTCTCTTCAGGGCTGCTCTGAATCTCTTCTTTGCCCAACCTGTAGCTGTGCCTGGGATTGCTCCGACCCAGGTGTAGGACCTTGCACTTGGCATGGTTAAACTTCATGAGGTTGGCATCAGCCCACCTCACAAGCGTGTCAAGGTCCCTCTGGATGGCATTCCTTCCCTCCAGCATATCAACCTAAGCACACAGCTTGGTGTCATCGGCAAACTTGCTGAGGGCACACTCAATCCCACTGTCCATTCCACAGATGTAAAATCACCTGGGGCTCGTCCCATTAGGCAGTCTCTAAGGACCTCTTTCTCATTCACAGTGGTGGTGTTTCGTCAGGTTTTGAATTGCTAAGTGGTGGTGGGCTTGTTCCTGTGCACTGCCGTTCCCCTGTGAAACCAGGAATTATAACCAGTTACACTGTGATAAAGCCAGAACAGTGGGACTGGAGGGTTTAGGTGCTTTGTGTGAAATTTAGCTCCTAAATTTCCCACGCAAAAAGGAAGAGAGTACAAAATAGTAGGAAGAAAAATGGTCCAAATACTCAGCGTTTATGTGAGCCTCTTTCAAAGTTTCTGTTCACTTACTGACAGCCCCATCAGAGTAAGTCTGGGGAAGTGAACTGGGCAACAACAGTTTGGCAGCTCCTATACCACCAAGTATTTCAATATCATACCTCCATGGAACATGACCTCTGGTTTTCCTTAAGCCAGAAAAGGTGGTGGCAGCCTGAACCATTGTTCTTTTTATTTAAAATAAATCTTTCAACCAGGAACCAAACCCATCCTTTTTGGTAAAGCTTTGGAAAATCATAAAAGAAGTCCAGCAGCTCACAAGAATTTTCCATTGCCTGGCTCTTTACAAAGCAGAATAGCGAGTTTCACAGTATCACAGTATTCTAGAGATTGGAAGGGACCTCGAAAGATCATCTAGTCCGATCCCCCTGCCGGAGCAGGAACACCTAGATAATGTTACACAGGAATGTGTCCAGGCGGGCTTTGAATGTCTCCAGGGAAGGAGACTCCACAACCTCCCTGGGCAGCCTGTTCCAGTGTTCCGTCACCCTCACTGAGAAGAAGTTTCTTCTCAAGTTTAAGTGGAACCTCTTGTGTTCCAGTTTGCACCCATTACCCCTTGTCCTATCATTGTTTGCCACTGAGTAGAGCCTGGCTCCATCCTCGTGACACTCCCCCTTTATATATTTATATACACAAATAAGGTCACCCCTCAGTCTCCTCCAAACTATAGAGACCCAGCTCCCTCAGTCTTTCCTCATAAGGGAGATGCTCCACTCCCTTAATCATCTTCGTTGCTCTGTATGTTTTGGGTAATCCGTAGCTCCTGAATATCGCATCTTGTCCTGTCAAATGATTGTACAATTAATAATACATTTTTATTGGTGATTTCAGACATTTATTGCTTTGGAGCCTCCTGGTTATTCTTTTTTTGTACAATATTCATACATCTCCAACCCGTCTTCATAAGGTACATCATTCTTGGTCTTTATTATTTCTGCTGTCCATCATTCTTTCAAAAGTTTTTCAAATATCTTGAAATGTGGTACATGTTGTACAAACTATTTTTGCCATGTTGACATTAGGAATATGTATGTGCCTTCAGGAGCCTCTCACCAGTTCAATCACGTTTCTACCTTTTAATACAATGGAAGTATTCAGAACCAGTGGCGTGGCTCCAGCTGTGGTCTTGCAATTGACTTGTTTAATTTGGGGGTTGTCAGATGAGCTGGTACTGGCTAGCAAAGAGAAGGGCACTTTGATCCATACTGTCTCGGCATATTTGTGGCATAGTATGTTCTAAGCAGGGCATAAGAGTAAACCCAGGTTGGAGAGAGCTTTGAGCAACCTGCTCTAGTGGAAGGTGTCCCTCTCCCTGTCAGGGGAGTGGAACTGGGTGAGCTTTAAGGTCATTTCCAACCCAAACTATTCCATGATTCTATGAAAAGGCAGGCTGAAACTAACTGTTATTTAATTAGCCAAAGATAGTAGTTTGGTGAGATCTTACAAGGATTTAGAAAAAATTCTCATTTTTTGATCATTTCATTCATTCATTCTGTATCATCACACAGACCTGTATCATGAGATGGATCCTCAGGCCTGGACTGGACTCAGACATGTAGGTTCTTTGAAGATCAGACGCACACTGTCTTCTTGTATTTTTAAACCGTGCAGTTGTGACAGAATCTGGCCAACTGCTAATATCCCGTATTTTTTTTCTCTTGCCTCCCTGAAAGACAACATTTTGACATCTTTTTGCTTCTACAGATCTTTCCCATCTTAAAATTTAGCTTCATTTTCCAGAAGGTCTTAAATTTCTTCATTAGTTCTTTTGAAACACCCAGCTGGATCTCCCCTTAAGTTGAGGACACATATATATTTAGTTTGTTCAGATGTCTTCCCATCATCTTTTCATTCAGTCCTCGTTCCTACAGCTGAGTCTAGTAATTTTCCTGAATTTTCCTCTAAAAGGTTCTTTGATGTCCTCATTTTCATTACTCATTTTATTGCAAACTGCGCCAAACCCGTATTTAAAATCTTGGTATTTTGTGTAAGTGTGATGTAGTGTATTTTGTCTTAATGGAAATAGAGCTTCCAAAACCAATTCACATTTTTTGCTATGGTCTTGAATATTAATGAGACTTCTTTTACTCACAAACTGGAGCTGTTTGACAGTCTGGTATTATTTTTATCCATATTTTTCCAGGAAGTTGGCAACAGTCTACGCTGGGAGGCAGTTCTTCAGTATCTCTTTCACTGAAATCGGTGCTTCATCCACACCGGCTGTAATTTCTGTTTCACTTGCACAGCAACAGAGTTCAGGATGAATTGCAAATAAAAGGAATCTCAACATTATGCAGGTTTTTGGCACATTGAGCTCAGTTAACTCTGCTCGGTTTTACAATGTTTTCCTATGTTGTAGAGAACTATAAAGACTTTAGCCCCTTACCTAAGACTGACCACAAGCTGCCTAAAGTATTTCTCCCTGTTCCAATGTATTCAAACAAGAAGCCAACATAGCATCAAAACACTGTTGCCAAAAGAGGTGTTTTTCAAGACAGGATTAAAAAATTATACAGAATTACTGTAAAGCATGAAAAGCACCTGAGATCATGCTCTGCCCCAGGTGAAGGCTATAGGTCTGGTAAAAGGGGCAATATGGGTAGCTTCAAAATAATGTGCTTTGTCTATTCATGTTCCTCTCACTGACCTGCATGGCTTAGAGGTAAGAAAGAAAGAGCTCAAACTTCTCATTTCAGGAGTCCCAAGGGCTGTTTCTATAGCCAAGAATAACTAGAGCATAGATAAGCTCTTTATGCCAGGAGCTATGACATGACTAAAGGCCCCTGTTATTCTTGTTCTGTGCAATCTAGAGAATTTCTTTTGGCTGATTGTATTTTCAAGGGAATAATTCCACTTATTATCCCTCCATACATCACAGAATTCGAAGTATCTTACTTAATTCACAGTGCTGCACCAGGGTTGCTGCGGCACATAATTTAACGATGCAAAACCAACCTGTATATTTTAGAATATGTTTAGAGTACAGTATTTTGTAATATAGTTGAGTTACAATATATCTAAATCCTAAAATTATTATCTTACTCGAAACCTTGGTGTTAAAAATACATGCTATTGGCAATGGGCCTAATTATATTAAGCAGCTCATTGCAGATTTTAGTTCTAAGAAAGTCATGGGTGATTACTTGGTTTTATTTCCTTAATTGTGTGACTGGCTTAAGTGTGTCTGCTTTGCTGTGACCTGGTATATTTTTGGAGGGTATTTTCAGAGTGTCTTTGCAATTCTTCAAGGTGCAAATTTAAACGTTCTTCAAACTCTCTTGTGTGCTTCTCTTCCTCTTGAAGGAACTTTTCTGCTGTTGCAAGGAAGGACATCTCAGGGGAGGACTGAGCAATGAATAGAAAATGATGGTTAGTAAAAAGCAGCAAGTACTACAACGTGTTTGCATTATCAAGTTTGTAGCTTTGAAAACCATTTCAACCTAGAGCAGCTAATAATTCTAAAACACTTTATAGCTCTCCAAGAGAGCATGAATTTAGTAATATATTTTTAAAGGCATAATGCGAACATGATGTTTGAATACCTGTGATATCCACAGCATTAGGATGTAGACTTGACATTAAAAACTTAAAAATCCCATTAGACAGAATTAAGCTGCTTCAGAACCTCCAGAATCTTTGAATCAGCTACAGGATATGTTAGTCACTTGTGTAATTTAGACCAGGACAGAGGACAATAATCTGTTTCTTGGAATTACAGCGTTGGATATGGCTGATTGCCTCCTGCAATGTTAGCTCTCTCCTCCCGTGATGTGCTGCTTTCTGAGGAAAGGAGGAAAACCTATGTTCATTTCAGTGCCATCAACTTCAGACCCTGACATTCTGGAGAGTGTACTAGATTTTATTCTCTGCAAGTAGTTCACTGAAAAATCTTCTTTCCATTTAATGAGCATTTAGTAGACTGAGACATAAACCATACTGAAATCGGTCTTAAAATGGTTGTCACGGCATGCAGAGTTGTAGAAAGCAAAGGACGAGTGAATTTTTGATGGAACAAGTCCTAAATTTTTAAGCAGCATTTTTTCTTAGTTCTTTCGCTAATGCTTAAGATGCATTCATTGGAATGTGTTTATCAAAAGAAACGTGAAGCAATTTTTCTTTGCCTAAAGATATTATGCTTGTTTAAATAAATTCAGTGTTTGTTTGTATAGAGGAATAGTTTTATGACATGAATCTTTAAGTTGACTGAGAAAAAAACTTAGTATAGGAGCTGTAATACTGAGTGAGAGAGATAATTTTCTGTCTTTATATGATCATGTATTGGGAAGGGTGTTTGACATTTATTATCTTAATTAAACCATATGTAAAATAGTTTTAATAACTGACTGAGTTATAAGTCTAGAATCTCTAGTTTTGTTTCTCCTGGAATTTAAAAGAGAGAGTTTCTCTGTCAGCACATCAAATAGGAAGGGCTTCAAATGGTTTATATATTCAAACGTTTTGTGGAAAGGCCAATTCTATGACGCCTGTACATTTTTATCCTAAGCTGCAGTCCATCAGAATCGGCTATTCGCCATTTCCACAGCAACTAGAGGCAGATTTGGTCTTTGCTTTCAGCCAGGTTTAAAACTGCCCTTTAGCAGTTTTTGCAGGCCAAAAGATACTAACTAGGTAAATGCTTTAAAGCAATATTCTCTCCACACTCTTTGCAGCAGACCTTGAGATAAACTGTAGAGATTTCCCATAAGAAACCCCTTTTCTTTTCAAAGTAGAGTAAGTAAGTGATAGGTGGAAATAAATTCTGAATGAAGTCCCATCCTTCTAGAGTGAGGCAGACTTTCTGATGTATAGGGCTCCTAAAATGAAATTCACAGATAAAGCAGAATCTTCCTTTTCTCAGTCCCTCCAAATATTTAACAGGACAGGGAAGAAAAAGTTATTTAATCTGCCATGTATAAAGAACCCAAAGCTATTGGATCACTCTGTGCCACAAAACTCTTGTACCAATCCCTGCACTAGCAGTGAATAGAAAGAAAGTTAATCTTCTAATATTTGAGAAAATCCAGAGGCAGATCTGGTTTTCCTTATAGATGCATGCATGATGTCCCAGCCATAACTCATCAGTGTTTTCACATGAAGAGTTGTTGCTGACAATTTGAATGCCATGGCTACATGAATATTGATTCTTTCATGGACTAGATTACACACCTATCCTTGCAACATTTGGATTCAACAATAGAGGTGGCACTACTACTATGAAGTATTGAAGAAGGCTTTTGTATTATGAAGAAGACACTGATTTGGAGGCTTTACTTAGAGAATCACCATGTGTTTCATTTACTGAATGCCAGCTCTGAAATCACTGATTCAGCACTGTGCAAAGAAAATACTTCCAGTGAGACGCGTGCAAAACTGGGAAAATGTAAATCTGAAATGCAAATTTAATAGGTGGCGTCAAGAGAAAAAAAGTTATGTTGGGCTTTTCCATATGGACAGCAAATTTACATGAGCGTGAGTCTTGAGAAATGTTGCATCAAGTTATGAGAGCTTCTCAGAGATTCATTATAACACTGTTTACAATTGCTGGCTTGTCATTAGAAACACGTTGACCCGATGACCAAGCTATCTTCCTAATAGGCTAGTGTCCTTTGCTATAACTGGGACTTACTTTGATGGGTTTTTCCTTCAAATACACTGTAAACTCCAAACGAGACATTTCTGAATTTCCTCAGAGATCAGAGAAGAATGTTCATCACTTAGAATAAGCAGATCATGGTTCCCTACAGCTCCCTACCTGAGGGTCAGACGCCGATTACCATTTTGGATAGGTCCCTAATGCACTGGGTTTTATGCACTTTGAGAATAGGTTGTATCTAAACAGGTCTAAAAGGCAACATTTCTTGTTAGCAATTAAACTTTGCTTTCCAAGCCTCTGGTCTGTTCTTTCACTGTGTTCTTTATTGTCTTTACTTTTGATGCCTGAGGAATTAAAACTAAAGAAACTACTTTAATCCGTGTCTCAGCTGAGATTCATGGTCCCTAGGTTTGAATTTCTTTTCCTCAGATAACACTTCTTTATGTCTTTTGGTTTTCTAACTGAAGCTGAATAGAAATAGGTTCATTGGCAAGCTTTCACCCTAAACTGGGTAGTTAGGCAACAAGGACTCTATGTCTTCATTTCTACAGACTCAGCTGATCCCGTATTTCTTTGCTGTACACCAAGAATAGTAATCACCTTTTTGCCTCATGATTTGCTGGAAATGAAGGAGTGCACTTGACAGAAATGTGTACTTCCACGTATGAAATATATGCTAAATATGTCTTCTCCTTAAGCAAGAAGCACCCAAAGTGCCTATGAATTAACTCTGGGTTGCTGGGGAGTGGCACTGCAGGAAGCTAGGTCTCTTCTCTCTCACAGACTGCCTAATTAATTTGCTTAATCTCTTTCTTTCCCCATGAGTTGTTTCAGCATTCTTGGATGCACCTTCAGCAGGGCAGCAACACAGCTTTAACGTTTAGGATATTGCAACATTTAGTGGTCAAATCGTGAGTGGTCAAATCCCAGAGTGTTAAAGTCTCCTGATGTTTAGCCTCTTCTGCTTTCCAGGAAAGTTCTTGTAACACCAAAAGTAGAAATTGGTCTGGCTAATTTTAGTCTTGCTGTGACTACATTTGAGGGCTTTGGGGAGTAGTTTTCTCCAACCGTACACTGCAATACATCTTAGGTAGCAGGTATAGATGCCTGTCTTCAACATGCTTCTGCTCATATATGAAAATAAAAATTGAGATGCCTAGGAAATTGCCAAGAAACACAGGAAGGCTTTTAGAGGGCCTAGCAACCTCATCAGCTAAGTAATCACAATAGCTAAGAGTGGGCACACGGACCACAGCATGCTTCAGGGTAGGACCAAGACTGTCAAAATCAGTCCTAATAGTGTCCAGTGGCAGAATTTCCACAACTTTCCATTGCAATCTATTTATTAAGCGGTTTTCCATACTTAATATTACAAAGTTTCCTAATGTCTCATTTATTTTTTCCTTGCTACAGCTTAAGTCTTTCTTGTCTATCCAAGCCTCGGAAGCAAGAACAAAAAATGTCTGTACACTGTATGAAGAGAACATGAGAAGGTGTTTGTGACTAAAAGTTAAAGCTCTAGATTAAGAAGCACAATGTACACAACTGCTTGCTGAAATGGAGAAATTGTGTAGAAACGCAGTATTCTGAAGCTGCAGATAATCTTTTTGGGTATCTATCTATCTATTTTCTGAAGCAGGACATTGGACTGTTGTATGGAATAGTCTTCCCAGAAACTGGGAATAGATCAGGCAACCATTTTCAGAAGTTGTTAATTTCAGAGAGAGAGCACAGTTCAAAGTACTATTCAGAGAAAAAGTATTTTCCTAGATTTGGAAAGCCTTAAACCAAGAAGTATGGGGGTTATGTGAATTCCCACTGAATCCTAGCTCAGCTTTCTAGTTTACTTTAAGGTAATGGTGACTTTCTCTTACATATGTAACCTCTAAGTAAGAATGTGAAAGGACAGAGATTCCAGTGGAACATTTGCTAAGGTTGTCTGAAGATTCCTTACTGGGAGGAGAGATGTTAGTCTCTGCATAAAGCCCTAGAGACTGTTTTCTGTCTTCCCTAGATACCGACAGAGTAATTTTGGTAGGTATCAGGACATCACCTGCAATGCTGATGTTTTCAGTTAGTGCTAGAAATATTCTCCAGAAAAATAGTCCCTTATAACATCTTTAGACATTTTGAACATATTGGAGATTACACTTAGGTGAAACATCAGTCCTGCAAGTTCTGTCAGAGAACTCTATTTATAACATATTGTATGTTTTTCTACTCTTTCTCCTTGATGCAATGGCTTTCCATTTGAACACAGAACTCCAAAGTAATAGACTTGAGTATTCTCTGCACTAATGCTGTGGTATCCAGTGTCAGTCTGAATAATGATTTCATTCTGGAGATCTTCTGGGCTTGTACCTGCTTCAATGTCACTGATTTGGACTTAGATTCAGTACGAGAAATATACCTTGCTTAATAATTTCATTTTGTACTTTGCCTACACAGGAGCTGGAAAGTGTTTTCCTTTAAATCTAGTCTTGGCATCAACCTGGTTCTGAGTGCCAGATGGCAAATAGTTTCCCTGCAGATTGCAGAAGTGTCTCGGATTGGATGTTTTACCTGGGCTGGCTGGAAATAGAAGCTCTGGGATCTCTGGTCTGGAGTCTCTGTCTGACACTTCCGACAGAAGAGAGGAGGAGACCTGGTATTTATCAAATTCTGCTGAAAAAGTCCAAACAATTATTGTCATGATTAATAATTTAAAGATAAAAACTCTCAAGCCATAAGGCTCAGCCACACACCTGCAGTTCAGGATCTACTGGGTACAAAATGCATGTATCACAGCTGGACAGAGAGATGGCTACGGTCTATTCCTACTAATCTGTTAGTTCTGTTATTTAATGATGGTGTGGTTGTATGGTTTGAGGTCTGGAAAACAAGGGCTAAATTTTCAAGTGGAAAACCATAGTGGCCTTTAGTGGAGGCCTCAGGAAGAATAGAAGATACTAAGGAAGAGGATAAAGCTTGACTTTCAAGATAGATCTAAAGTCAAAGAATTATGGAAAGTTTTTCCTAAGAAGTTGCCCCAGGTAAAGGGAGATTTATCCCACTTGTCATGGAACTTGGTAACCTTCAGCCTTTGAAGACTGAAAGGCAGAATGCTGCACTATTACTCTTTCATTTCAAAAAAAAAGAAAGATTGCAGCAGTTATCATTTCTGTTCCTTCTCAAATACAATAGCTAACACATAGAAAATAGTTGCTGCAATTCCTCTAATTTCATCCATCAGTGGAATGCTGTAGAAACTTGATTTGTCAAACAGCACTTAAGACAGTTAGTTTGCAGGCATTATGGAAATACACTTAAAGCAGAGTGCCCTTACAAAAGTCAGTATGAAGGAGTGCGCCAATATAGAAGACAATAAGCTAAAATGTAGAAATCTCTCTCACAGTCACATAATGGCAGGTAATTATCACCATCGTTATTAGAACAAAGGTATGGCCCAGCAGGGGATGTTTAATTTCCAGAAAAAAACTGCTTTATATGTTAAGGTATTTCCATTTTTGCTGGGCTGGCATTATATAAATAATAATGACAACAGGGGTGATCTAGTTTTTGGCTCCTCCAGGGCTGTGGTTGGTCCACAGATGAATTTGTGTTACAGGAAAATAGTTACTTACTGATAATTTGATTTCTTCTGCACTGTAAGCAGGGCTCAGTAAACTGCCTCTTCTGCCCTCTTCAAGAAACATCCCACTGAAGCCCAAAGGATACTTATCACTTTTTGAACCAGTGATACTGCCTTGGCCATATAAAGCAGGACTGTGGTTTCTGTGGTATCCTGTGAACCCAGCAGTCTGTTGACATTCCATTTCCCATCCATCTTTCTTTTGGGAAGTTCTAAAAGAGAAAAACAAATCAAAGTATGAAAACCAGTTGGAACTCTGAGCTATCACAGCAAAGCCAAGCGTGTTTTTACTGTTGTTTGTTTGCGCAATTTTGATTACTTACCTGTGCAAACTGCTTCATGCAGATCAAAAACTACCAAGCTGCAGCAATTTTGCAGCTTTCCAGCTAAGTTGCTGTAAACATCTGAGTGTGCATTCTCTATCTGCCTCGGCTATGACTTAAATCACACAAATTTAAACCTATTCACTGGAGGTGAAGTTGGATAACCTTGCCATATAATTATGGCAGGACAAGAGCTAAACCACAAACCTGCTTCAGGTATTGAAAATACCAATATTCCTTAAGTGTTTGTTGGTCATCCTTTGCCAAAGGATATCACCCTGTTAGTTTTTCAGTGGGAGAAGCTAAGTAAGCAGTCTTCAGCCAGGTCTTCACAATTTATAGTCTGATAGGATCTAGAGTGAATTTAGCCAACAAATAGAGGAAATGAAATATGAAGATGAGATGAGAAACAAAACCTATTATTAGTGATTGAATAATTAGCCAATTTTGATCTAATATAACTTTAAACAACTATGTTCAAATAGCTAGGATTTTGCTGAATAAAAAACTAGTACAGGTATCTTTGATCCTGCATTTTTACTGCAATACTGATTTTGCTACCGATTTAATGATAACGTACAGAACAAAAGAAAGCTATTTTCTTCCCATCCAAAATATTTTCTTTTCCTGATAGTTAACTGAACAATTCTGAAACCATATTGTTCGACATGGACAATTCTGAAACCAAGAGTAGCTTGCCCATGTGCCTGCTCTATCAGACTAATTTTCAGTTGCATCTTTGCTTGTATTTATTATTATGTATTTACTTCAGCCTGGAGAAGAGAAGGCTGCGTGGAGACCTCATAGCAGCCTTCCAGTATCTGAAGGGGGCCTCTAAGGGTGCTGGAGAGGGACTCTTCATCAGGGACTGTAGTGATAGGACAAGGGGTAATGGGTTCAAACTTAAACAGGGGAAGTTTAGATTGGATATAAGGAAGAAGTTCTTTACTGTGAGGGTGGTGAGGCACTGGAATGGGTTGCCCAAGGAAGTTGTGAGTACTCCTGTTCAAGGCCAGGCTGGACAGAATCTTGGGTGTCATGGTTTAGTGTCAGAGGTGTTAGGGCAGAGGTGTCCCTGCCCATGGCAGGGGCGTTGGAACTAGACGATCTTAAGCTCCATTCCAACCCTAACTATTCTGTGATCCTATGATTATATAGCAAAACATGCAAAAAAAATTACGTTTCTGTTACAATATTTCTGACTGATGTAAAAATTTCCATTGTAGTGAGGTCTGTGCTTATAATAAAATTGGAATTGTAGTCTTGGGAGGTAACAACTATACTTAAACATGATAGCTGTTTGAAAAGATCCCATCATTGCAATATCCTAAAACACTTCACTAATTTGAAATGCAGTTATAAAAGCTTTTAAAGACAAGTTCTCTGACACTGAAGTATAATTGTTATAAATATTCAAGAGTATGCAGGGCTGCTCAGATCCAAGGAAAACAGCTCTTTTTTTTTTAATAAAGAAGAATTTGCCAAGCACAGGGAAAGGACAGCATTTCCTGCAGAAAGAGCACACCATCATTTTCTAATCTTAATTTCAATACTTGGTGTTGGGAGAGGGTGGCTGTGCAGTCTTAATGAACCCTGCTTGTACTTAATCCCTTGTGCTGGGTTTGGCTGGGGTAGAGTTCATTTTCTTCATAGTAGCTGGTATGGGAATGTTTTGGATTTGTGCTGGAAACAGTGCTGATAACACAGGGATGTTTTAGTTACTGCTGAGGAGCACTTACACAGAGCCAAGGCCTTTTCTGTGCCTCACACCACCCCAAAAGCAAGTGGGCTGGGGGTGCTAACCGCAGCTGACTCCATGGATATTCCAGACCATATGGTGTCATCCTCAGTCTATAAACTAGGGGGAAAGCTGGCTGGAGGCCGCTGCCTGGGAGCTGGCTGGTTTGTGGGTGGTGAACAACTGCACTGTGCATCACCTGGTTTGTATATTCTGATTCTATTATTATTGTTGTTGTTACTATTATTATCACCATCATTATCATTGTCATCATCCCTTCCTTTTCTGTACCATTAAACTCTATCTCCACCCACAAATTTTACTTTTTTTTTCTTTTTTCCCAATTCTTTCCCCATCTGACTGCAGGAGGGAAGGAGAGTGAGGAGAGGCTGTGTGGTGTTCAGCTGCCTGCCACGTTAAACCCTGACAGCCTTAAACATGAAAATGAGCACTCCATCAACAGACTGTGCAGAGCGACTCACAGAACTAATGAAGAACGTATTTTTCTCTGGCTATAAAAGATGTAGTGATAAAGATACTCCAAATGCTGTAGGAAAGCAAATTATAAGCATGATTCTGTAATATTATTATTATTGTATTATTATTATTATACATTCTAAAATAAAACTCTCTGAGAACATTTACCCAGCCTTCCAGTTTTCTAATCAGTTAAAATGTTTACTTTTATGGGGGCAGAGTTTCCTCCTTTCATTCATTCTTTTCTTTAAATAAACAAATAAACACACTCTGCTTTTTGGCCACAGATGCCTTTTTTCTCCCCCCCCCCCCCCTTCTGAAGTCAATTCCATCTATTGTTTGGATGAAGGGCACAGAAGATAGATGGAATGAATAATAAAATCACAAATATTTTTTCATCTTGTGTTCTGACCCTTTTGAAGTAATTTTCTCTGTAAACCCACAGTAAAGTCTGTGAGCTGTGTTCTTTTTTATTTGCCCCCAGAACTGCTTCTCTGTGTATTTAATAACAGTTATTACTGTTATGCTATGGCTTGCTTCACTAAGACCAGAATTTTCAGACTCAGGTGCCTACAGTTCTGGTGGCTTTTATATAGCAAAATCAGATACCTCCCAAAAAAGGACTGACTTTATAAAGGAACTTCATTCCTACTATAATCCATAGCATTGCTGGGGCTGTTTGCTATCTTGGAAAAATATGACATCTACATTTAGGTGCTTTGATATGGGTACTATGCCTTTACTTCAGACAGACTTCACAGTTGGGGTTTAAATATCTTCCAGTTTAGTGCAATATAATATGTAAGAACAGAGTTCTTCTTTGAATGCAAATGTAAAGGTAGGTAAATATCTGCAATTTTTCAAAACTGTCCATTTGTTAGTACTGGCAATGCAAATACACTATAACTGCAGTTGAAAAACTTGTGCTTTCAATGGGTTTATTGTCAGAGAGTATTGAACATATCTACATTCTTCACAAAAATAATATCACGGTGGACATGGCGACATATGGGACAAGAAGTGGAAGAATGATGTCTTCACAAAGGGAATTTATATAGACAGGATCGATTTTTCCAGACTCATATATAAAATCAGCCTGGTCTTTACGTGATCAATGACTTCAGTGGTGCAAAACAAATTACTTACACAGCTTGTGCTAGTTGTCATACCTGGTCTTGAGAAAGAAAACAACAGATCTTTAGTGACCAGAATGTCTTCAGAATTTGTTGCTTTTACCTGGCAAGTGTAACTGCTGGCTTGGTTTGTAAAAATGGTTAAAAAGTATTTTCCTAAGAGATTGTTTTCACTGCTTCCAGTTTATCTACTGCAACACCTGATCCAGTGGTGAGCATGACAAAGAGTCTGTGAACTCCAAAAGGTAGTGAAAACCTCCTTGAGACACAGTTCACTGTCAAAACAGATCCTTTAAGTGATCCCCAGCTACCTTAGTGGGCATTCATTCCTAGCCTTTACCCCTCACTTTTGCCAGATGATGAAAGAGCACTTTGGCTTGTCCAATTACCTATTTTGTGTGTATTTTTGTGGTGAATAAGTAGCCTTTCATTGGGAGCTCACATGCATGTTTTAATTTTGGCAGAAATGGGCTAAATAAATCAGCTTCATCAGAGGAAGCCCTCTTCAACCATACCAAACTTCAAATCAACTCTATGTGGCTGAGGTCTAAATAAAGGATTGGAATCTTGAGGGTGGGGAAAGCTTCTGTGAACGGTCAACTACCCTACATGAGAACAGTAGTTACTTAAAGTGGTTGTAGGTAGGATGTGACTACAGGCTTTTTTAGGTAATAGATGCCACTCCTGCGTATCTTACTTTGTAATATTTAGAAATTCCCTGCATACTGAATAAAAGCAGAAATCAGGGCTCTTTCTAAACAACAGAACCTCCTGCAATTTCCTGCGTTTTCTCTAGAGGTCTCCTATCTAGCTAATGCCGGTGCCCATGCCTTGGATTCTAGTACTGGTTGAGGGGCATGACTGAAAAACATTATGGAATGTAGCTGGTCAAAGACTTTTTGTAGTTGTGCAAACCTTTCTACGTTTCTGAATGCAAATAGGAAAAACTAAAAGTAAAGTTTCTGAAAATGGCTCTGTAAAACACAAACACCCCTCTTGCACAAACACCATGTTTTCTACTTCTTTTGCTCTATAAAAAGCAGTGGTTTTGTCCTTTCTTCAGTGCCATAATTACCATGGAAACAGAACTGCAAATTAAAACAGAAATAACATGGTTTATGCTCACAATAAAATAAAATATACCCTAGAGTTTGACTCAACCAACATAAATTGCCTGAATTATCTGCACACATTTGATTGTTGAAAATTCAATTTTAGTTTTCTGAGAAAATCTTGAGGTAGTTCCTGTTTGGGAACAGGGAACTGACAGTACAGAGAGGGCTCAGTCTTAAAGAGACTGGCTGGCTGATGTGTATGTACACTACATGTGGAATTTGTGTATGTATTTATTTAGCTAAATAACTTTTCATTTAGCAAATCAATCACGTTTCAGATCCTGAAAACCAGGCTCAATAGATCTGTTTCACCAAATTCATTAGAATTGTATTTTAAATTGTGTTCAGTTATGTGGTTGAGGTTTTTCTGTTGTTAGAAAGGTTCTCTTCCCCAGGTTTCTCTCTCCCAGTTTTGGTTTAATGTTGGTCTTCAATAGCTAAATAATCAGAATCCTGCAAAGTATCTGCATAGTTCTATTGTCTCATGCACTTACATTCTCACAAATGAAATTTCACAGTTCCTCATGTACAGCAAGTTTTATTCCTAAGAAAATCTGACTTTCTCTCTATTAAAGAGAGTGGAAGCATGAGCAAAAAATGTACTCACCAATTTTTGTTGAAATTATGAGACCTGCACCTTCTGAGGTGCAGAATACTCTGTAACTTGGTTTGTAAATATTTGTTTCGGCAAAACCTTCAACATCAGGCTTCCCAGGGAGGTGGTGAAGTCACCATCCCTGGATGTGTTCAAGGTCCTCAGTGACATGATTTAGTGGTGGACTTTGCAGTCCTGGAGTAAAGGTTGGATCTGGTGATCTTAAAGGTCTTGTTCAATCTAGTTGATTCTATAATTCTATTATTTGAAACTTAGGAAAACAACCATACCTGCCATTTCCATCTATATATGTGTATTATGTATATGCATATATATGTACATGCACACATACAATATATATATATGTATTTGTATACACCTGAATACTACCTACAACACTAAACTATATATTTAAACAAAATACTCCAAAGGAAGTTTTAAGCAAGAGTGTTGCTACATATAATGGGATGCCTTTCTATTTTGCAGCAAGAAAATGACTTCAAATTTTGCCAATGACTGAATGTATGAGCTTGAAATAACCTGTGTAATTTTGGCTTCAACTGATCCACATTAGTGTTACCATGTAAGTTCTTTTTACAAATGATCAAAATATTTAGCTTCCTATTAATTTTACTCTCGCGTACTGTGAAATATTGTTTAGCATGGGGTTTAATTTTCTTTTTATTACTGCAATGCCATGATTATAACATGTTTGAAGGTAATTCAGAGCTTCACTGAATACAGGGAAATAAGAAGGAAGGCATCACTACAATGTTTTCTATAGCCTGAGTACTTTTGTCTCATTATTTTTCCCTAACAAGGAGTTTATTGTAGTAATTATTTATTCAGGGCACCTGAAATTATGTTTCATTTAAAAATCAGGTCACCCAAGAACACCAAAACTAGACAAGGCATTAAAATACATTTAATGAAACTTCCAACAAATGAAACTGGTGGGACAGAGAGGTTTTCAGCAGGGGCTGTAGTTCAAACTGCTTATTAAGATAACTTCCTGTGGAGCAGTTTACCTCTCATGTTGGTTTTTATATTCTTTCCTTGTCTTGTTTTTATTTGGCAGTAAAAATACATCCTGTCCTGTTTTGTAAAACCTGGAACTAAGAGTAACTTATGCAGCACATAAAAAGTTTTTAAAGTCATTTCATGTGAAAAACATTTAAAAAATGATCAAACATGTCTAGGACTTCATTTATTCCCAAATTCAGTCAGCCACCTAGAAAAATGTAGGGAATTCTTACAAATATACTAACTAGGTTTGATATTTATGTTGGTGGGAGTTCTGAATGAGCAGAAACAGCAGAAAAGCAGTTCAGCCCAGTTGGATGCTTGCAAAAAACTTAGAGGAAGATTCATATATATGACAATTTAACTATTACCTCTCTTCCTTTTCTTTCATCTTTGAGTGGGTTTGGTAGCTGTCCTCTGTTTCTCCATATGTACCCATGCGACCCAGCAGTGTTGTTTCTGTGTCATTTTGAAGTTTAACAAGACTACTTTGGAATCTTACATTCTCATATTCCGGTTTGTGAATGGAAGATGTGAAATTTCCGTGTTGTTTGTTACATAAATCTATACTCTGTGCAAGAAGATAAAGCCATCATTATATAGTTATCTATCTTCTCAACAACAAATGGATGTTAGTATTTTTAACAAGCAAACACAAACAATGTTCTATGCTAAAGAAAGACCTAGCTACTATATATAATCATGCAGCACTTAGAGCAAACCAAGAGAATTGCCTCCAGAAAAAAACCCACTGTAGATAAATGGAAAAGAATGAATAACAGCCTCTATAACACAATAAAACAAATTAAAGTTTCTCAACAAACATGCATCCAAAATATTATTATTGTAAACTCATCAGTTGCTTTGTAAAACTTATGACATAAAAGAAACCATAACAGCTATAGCTGCAGACTGTATTGCTCCCTCCAGTAGCAATCCCACCAGAAATAATAAGAAAAAATTATAGAAGTTCATTACTTTACTAGATATAGGGTATGTCTACAGGCACAATTTAATATCTGTGTCAAGATACAGTCACCTTCAGCTTCAGAAGCAGTAAAGTAAAGCCACATTAGCACAGTGCTCTGTGTGTTACTAAACCCTGCTTCTCAGCTGGGTTAGTCCACACGGTATACAAGTCGTAATACTAAAAGTGCAAGCAACATTTGCTCTGCAACTAGGGCTTAAAGAGGACCATCCACTAAGGTATAAAGAAGGGAAGATGGAGATTAGCTCTGGAAGTTGACTACCCAGGATACTGCATTCCTTTTTTGTCCTGTCACTTTTTCTATAAAGCCTATGCTGCACACCAGAGCTAGCTAATTCGAAACTACTTCTCTACATAATACTGCATTGCATTGTGTAAGTATATCTGCAATAGCAGTACAGTGTCATTGACAGAAAAATCTCAAATGATTTCATAGAACCATAGAACAGTGTGGGTTGGAAAGGACCTTAAAGGTAATCTATTCCAACATCTCTGCCCCAAGCAGGGACACCTTCCACTAGACCAGGTTGCTCCAAGCTCCCAGTCCACCCTGGCCTTGAACACTGCCAGGGATGGGGCAGCCACAGCTTCTCTGGGCAACCTGTGCCAGTGTCTCACCATCTTCATTAAAAAAAACAAGCAAACAAAACCCTTTCTTATGAATAATCTATATCTCCCCTCTTTCAGTTTAAGACCTTTGCCCCTTCTCCTGTTGCTACGAGCCCTGGTAAGAAGTCTTTCTCCATCTTTCTTATAAGCGCTGATTAAGTACTGAAAGGCTGCTCTCCATAGGAGAGATGGTCGAGTCCTCTGATTATTTTTGTGGCCTCCTCTGGACTTGCTCCAACAGGTCCATGTCCAGATTATACACAGAATACTAAAACCCAAAATATTCTATTAAGTTTTGTTTTCGTATATTTCTAGATTTACCTTATTCTTCTGGAAGTTGATAACTCGTGAGTATTAAGGATTTGGATCTTAGTATACAGTTAGCACAACTTGAAAGCTTGTCTATTATTTGCACTATCTGATCTAATGTTATCTCTTCCTGTAACCCTTGCCTCACTTAGCTAATTTTAGGGGAAATTTATGAGCCAAGCTGCCATGGAAGTGCCAGAAAGTAAAAGGAAATTTAGTATTTATTGCAAGGATGGCAGGCAGGGGCTCAGCTGTGTCTCCAAAGTGAAGTGGCAGAACAGAGGAAGGAGAGCACTAAGTCACACTACCACTACTAGCTCTCAAGTCAGCAGTACACTTATAACAGCATGTACCCCAAAACTGAGATGGCACAGCTACATTGCTTTTGAAATCTAAACAAGTAACCCTCCCTGGTGATGCATTACACCACACCGACTTAAGCTTAGCATTAGTTTGAGGAGTCTGTGTAGTGCTCTGCTGTACTATGCAAACACATCTGTAAAAATCTCTCCAGTTCCTGCAATCTTAGCGTGAAATACCTCACAATCTTTAATGTTTAGATTTTCCCAATACATTAGTAAAGTAGGAAAGACTTGTTAAGTCCATAAATGTATTGATATATGTAGTGACCTTGGTATATCTACTGACTGGATTTTACTGTTCAGATTTAACAGACATGGTATCTACAAGGATACTTTTCAGACAGTTCTCAATCTTCATGAAGAATACCACCATAGAGAAGAGCTAGACATGCATATACACATCTGTCTATGTTTCCACAATAATGTCACATATACACATACATATATCCATAATAGTGCACATGTATGTATAGGTAATACATCACTGACAGACATATATGCTATTTTAAGGGTGTGGAAAAATGTGGCATTTTTTCATACATTTGTCAGTCTAGAGTAAGGCAATTAACAGGCTACAAATCCCCCAAAGATATATTTACAGCACAATTTACAAGCAACATTGCAGCGTTTTTTCTAGAGATAGATAAAATAACTGCAGATGTTCTGTAAACAGGAGACATTTTGAAGCTTTTTGTGGAAGGCAGCATATACAACATTTATTGTACCCATAAAAACTACAGTACTACATGATTTTGTGGCACACTTTTTATGAATTAAACTTTAAAAATCCCTGTTTGAAGAAAAATAAATGCTGAACTCCAAAAATAAGCTGGGTGGGGGCAATATATGCCTGTTTTTTACACAGTTATTTAAATATCATATGAAGAAACCGGTAATATAGTAAAACTAGGACATATCTTCATATCTGTGAGAATGATGACTGTTTAAAAATACATATTTTCTGAAATAAGTTATGTAACTTACAATAAATAAGCTCCAAGAAACTGTTTATTGTCTAGACAGTTACTGAAAAATTTACCTTACTTCTGCTTTACTACAGCTAAGGTCAAAATTATTCCTAGCTATACCCATCTTCAGGCTGAGTTAAATCCACTTGGTGCTGATTATGTCTCACACCTTATCTGTATTAATTTATTTTACTTAGGTCAGAAATCTCAAAATCTGCCATGATCTCAATCTACATTTACAGTAAATATAAGTAACTGTTCTGCATATTGCATAGATTAAAAAAAATACCATGCAACTTTTACACACCTGCTTTTCCACCATCTCTTTTAGATGTGTGTTTTCAGAGCTCACAACTTTGTATTTGGAATCCAGGAACTAGGAAAAGATTAAATTCTCTGTTAAATACAAGAACATTACTGTTAACTTTAAATGACACTGAGTATAGATATATATGTTTAATTTTACAAAACATACATAATTATGAAACTAAATACAATGTTTTTTAAATACAGCAATACTAAAGCAGGAAGAAGTCTTAAACCACCTATAAAAGATACACAGGTGCAATGCTTCTGATTTTAGTTACCTTTTTTCACTTAGGAAAATATGGGAGTTCACTTGCAGTTAGGAGATACAAAGAGAGACAGATTTTGCAGGCCACTGAAACTGGGTGAAATCTTAGTCATGGAGCCTAGAAACGACATCCACTCTTTTAGTGCTATGGTAGGGAATATAGGCTGGTAAAGCCACACAACAGGAGATGTCTCATTTTCCCAAGCACTAACTTTCCTATTGTCAAAAGTGAAGTATTACATTAAATACAACTTTCAATATGCAGTGACCTTCTCAAAAAACAGAGATCCCCAGAAAACTCTAAATATGAAGGTTCTTTTTGTTTACAAAGCCAAGTAATGAAGGTAACATATTTGTTTTTAATACTAAAAATTGACATTAAAGCACTGGTATCTTACAGTTTTCAGCTTTCAAATTATCAGAATTTTCTAAGCAGATGATAGATACGTAACATTCTTCAAAAAGCTTTAAAAAAATCCCTGAAAAAGTGTTCTAGATACTCTAACAAACAGTTCTAATGATAAAGTGCATATAATACAACAAACTTGAAGTTTTCAAGCTCTTTTGCATGATAAAATGATAACTACAGTCAATAGTCAGAATGAATTGCAATTTAGATGTACAGTTGACATTTGCCAGTGCATTCTTGTTCCAGTGTCAATTTGGCTGCTCTAGTAACACTTCACAGATATTACAGCACTGCTGATGAAAACTACAGCAAGAAATGTAATGTCTTTTTTCGCAGATAATATATGTCATTACCAATAGTGTGGAGTAAAATGATCTACACTGGTTTTGCCTGCTTGCATACCTGTTGTTTTGCTAACAATTTGTCTTTTATCTCCAACTCCATTTTTAAATGTCTTTCCAGAAGACTAGCTTTCTCCATGATAGTTGCTATAGTGATCTCCTGATGAAGCTCTTCTGTCAGGTCAGAGATTTCCGTCTTCATTCTTTCCTTCTCAGAGTGATGGGACTGCTCCTCTTGATAAACATGGTTTCTTATCTGGAGCAAAAGGTTTCAAGAAGAAAAAATGTTATGCAGTATATATGATTGCATCACTTGCTACCTATCAGTGACCTTTTTGCTGTTGCTTCCAAGGTATCAACTCTTCTAACTGAACCAGAGATTTTTGACATTGCATAATAAAATGTCTTCGTGAATCAGGGCATATAGCTTTATTTATTTTTATGGGTTTGGTTTTTTAACCCTTCTGTTGTGCTTCCATTTACCTATTCAGTATTAGAATTGAACACAATACAAGACATTTAAATTGACATTTAAAAAGAATGTACTAAAAATAATGCTAAAAATTGGTATTTATGGCAAAGACTATCCAAGGAAATATCCATTCAATATACCTAAGTCTGATTTAGTTATATTGCTCCTAAGTTAATTTAGGCTTGAAATAAGTTTAATGCAGCCTAAATTAACTTAGGGCAATATAAATAAATCAATCTAGAGACTCTTTGATGAGAAACTATGTTAGAAATAAAGAGCATATACAGTAAATCACTGTATGAGAATTTTTCCTACTGTAACATAAAATTTAAGGTCAAACTTTCTGCACTGTATCCTGTGCACAGTTCTCCAAAGAATCAGCACAAAGGTTGTTCTCATATCTTTTACTATAACCAACAATTCAGCACTGATTGATAGGTCTTTTTATTATGTAAGAAACAAAACTACATAACCCAGCAAACAACCTTTCAGCCCTATTTTAATAATTCCTTGCAGGACTGTACACAATCAGTAACAGATGGCATTTCGTTTTTATTTATGCAAACTACACAGAAATACTAGAATTGTAAGCAAATAGATGGAGATGATGGAGATGCAAAAAACTCTAAGAGTTAGATCATGCCTATCATGCCAAAATTGCTGCATCTGAGTCAGCTGCATGCAATTAGAGATATTCCTGCTTTGAGTGCTACTGAGCAAAACCACAACATGCCTGAAGATGTTCTGAGCATCCTCTACTCCCAAAGTGTTTTGGCCTGCCAAGCCATATGCCAGTCCACAGTGCTATGCCACCACTGCTTGCACACAGCACTTGAGGAATGTGCAATGCAATGCGGTATGTAGTTCAAACTAAAGAGCGCTGCATAGATTGTGCAGCAGGTGACTGACTAAGCTTGCCCTTGTGCAGCTATCTGTCCTACTGACTTGTAGCAGTTGATCTGTTGACATATCTTACATTTGAGACCACCTACAAACTACTTACCTCCTAAAGCCTATTAATTACTTTTAGCCTTAGAGGGTTTATTATTTGCATGGTATTACTTGAACCACAGTGATGCTTGAGCATGGTCTCTTCCCTCACTTCAGTGAAGTAGCTAGCTCTGTACAGAATCAGAATGTCAATTTTACAGCTATGCACCTACCTCCAGAAATGCAACAATATATGAAAACTTTCTCATGTATGAAAACTTCATGCTCTCCTAAACCCACAATTTATCTCCTGCTCTCTTCTACATACGATCATACCCAAGGTCAGTACTTTTCTCTCTTCTAAAAATCCCATATTGCAATTAAGACCTGGAAATACTTAATGATATGAAATACCTCATTTAGCTCTTCTTGCTGGCATTCTTGACTTTGTGCCAATAGTAATAACTTGGTGTTTTTATTTTCTAGTTGCTCAGTAAGTTGTACACAAAATGGCTGATGCCTTTAAATAAGAAATAAAACATGAAACAAACAGAACATTCAATAACCTTTACCTTACAGCATCCTCTCTACAGTCTGAAACTGTGGAAGAGCTGTGTGCTGACGAAAAAATAAAACAATCAAAGATTTGGCCTAAACCAGGTTGGATCTTGTGAGATTTCTAGAGATTAAGGACAATGCGAGTGCGTGCAGAAAGAATCCTGAAATCTCTTGCAGGCTGGTATTTCCTATAACCTCAAATAGCTGAAGTAGATTAGATAAACCATAAAAAGATGAATGTTTTACTCAAGGGATGTTAGGGAGAATCTTAATTACACGATTTCCAAAGTGTTTTAATGCTGAGAAAATGGAAAAAGCCTGTAAACATATAAAGAGAAATAGATTAAATGCATTGATTTGTAAAGATCTCGGCAGCATTAAAGCCTTTTTACAGAGCCTGCATCTATTGCTGCCGTTTTGTTGTATATAATTGCCAATGAAAATGTTTATTTTAATATTGTTTAGAATCCAACATTTGAATCCAGAGTATCTTAAAACAGCTTTAATTTATATCAAATGTAAAAATAAAAGTTATTAGCTCAGAAGTACTTCTTAATTTAAATATTGTCTTCAACGTACATTTCCTGCATATCTTTATAGTCTCTGATTTTCTGTAGTTCTGTATGCATCTGTTGGCATTCCAGTTGTATCCTTCTCCAGAGAGCATCCCGCCACTGCAGCTCATTCCTCATGTCTGAAAAGCCTGCCTCCATGTTCTAAACAAACAAGCAATTACATAAATAGCTAAATAAATTTAGATGGCTCAAAAAGGTGTGTGTTAACACATCAGTTTCGATACCTGTATAATTTGGATGAAAGGACATACATGATTTTATTATAAGTTTAATTTCTGCAAAAGACACTGCTTTCATGTCAGTTCTCTTTTCCAGAAATGTAATCTAAAAATCAGATGCTGAATATTCGTTAGCTCTTGCAATGTTCCCATGCATCTGCCTCTGAAACCATCATAGGAAACATCATTCAGAAGTTCTTCATTGTACTAAATGCATCTAAAATACATAGTTTGCTTGTTTCAGCAGGTTCTCCACCCTAGAACATGCTTCACATGCAAGAATAAGTGCCACAAGTAACTTCCATTTTCTATTTTCCTAACGGCATTTCCAAATTTATAAGCTTGAAAACTACAAGGCTATAGAAAGGCAGGATTACGTGCATGTCTTTATTAAATATTTCCTGGAAGCTTGGAGCAGATCCATCTAGACATCTGTACTTAGCCACGGTGTGTGCTCAGTCATCTTCAAAACTAGTTCTATCTGCATGGAGTCAACTGCTTATTTAAGTGAATATCACAAAATTATTGAACTATAAGATTCTTCTTAGGGACTCCACAAATCTTACCTCTATTTTGCCATTAGTTTCTGACTGAGAATGTGGTAGACAACCTGAAGATCTATGTTACATTCGCATCACAAACTCTGAATTTCCACAAATATACTGAGAACATACTCAAGAACTCTGAACTATAACCCACGAATAACAAAAGTAGCAATAATAACCAGATTCTTGCAATAATAATATTCAGAGAATACTTATTTCCTCTCACCCAAGATCTAAAAGCATCTTCCAGATTAAAACAAAGGATTTTCCAAGGATGTTGATCCTTTGCCTTTAACACCATTACACTAAATCCGTTAGTATTTTTCATAGTTTCTTCATTTTATTTTAATATAGTTTCCATGTTTAAAAGCAAAAATAAAGTCTTTAAACTTTCATAAGACAACTGGAATCCAGAAATGACATTGCAAGCAAGGAACTTCAAAGGTTTGTTTTCCTTAGAGCCTTATATGAGAATGACCTTCCTCCCAAGAAGCCTGTGGGTTTTCTTTGGCTAAAAGGGCTGCTGCAGACAGATATGAAGTGCTTTTGCTGCATATATAGGTTCATTCATTTTATCCTTTGTTAGTATAAGGCTGAGAGAGCTTTTTTAAACTCTGAAATGCAAGTCTGGGCATATTCATGTGAAATAAAGCTTAATGAACTGTTAAAATTCTCTGCAAGACTTGCTTATGATCATCTTTATGACTTCAACATTCAAGAAATAGTCACAATTATTTTATAATATATGAATCTGGGGGAGGGTTTTCCCCCTGATTTCATTCTGGGGTGGATAAGAGGAATGAATGCTGCACAAATGTGTGGTAGAATCCATATGTGACTGGAGTCATCATACAGATTTACATAAACTGTATTTTCTTCTGTGAATTGTAATAACAGCAGGAACAACAACAGCCACAACAGCAGCCACGGCAATAACTGAAACAGAACTTCAGGTCAAGAGTTTCACACATCACTGCAAAAAAAAAAATCATTTAGATATGTACCACTTATTATTTTAGGGGGTACTTCCTGCATCTAGTTAAAACACCAAAAAGAAAAGTAATTTTGAACCAGAAAACTTTAGGTTTTGTTTAGAGAATATTTAATGGAATACAAGTTTTTAAAGAGTGTGTTTCAATCTGAAAAAATTTCAAAATCCTCTTTTCTTCCCATGTTTGATATCAAAAGGAAGTCTCAAAAGTTTCCTCATCAAGTCCTGTTCTAATACTACTCAAAGCTGTTTGTGGTGGATTGACCCTGGCTGGACTCCAGATGCCCAGCAAAGCTCTCTCACTGCCCTCCTCAGCTGGACAGGAAAGAGAAAATATACCGAAAGGCTCGCGGGTTGAAATAAGGGCAGGGAGAAATCACTCAGCAATTGCTGACATGGGCAAAACAGATTCAACTCAGGGAAGTTAATTTAATTTATCACTAATCAAATCAGAGTGGGGTAATAAGAAATAAAACCAAATCTTCAAACACCCCTCCCTTCTTTCTGTGCTCAGCTTCACTCCTGATTTCTCTACCACCTCCTCCAGAGCAGTCACAGGGGGATGGGGAATGGGAGTTATGGTCAATTCATCACACACTGTCTCCACTGCTCCTTCTTCTTCATGAGGGTATAGGGAAGATATATGGGGCACAATACTAGGCTTGCTGCCATTGCCATCAGCCTTCTCCCCACCTAGATTCCCATTTACCTCTCCCTTCTTTACCCACATCAGGTCCAGCTATTTCCATCCTCCACGTAGCACTCCACATAAACTTGCTTACTTCTTCTGGCTGACAAGAGGCCTTGTGCTTCCTGCTTTCTCACACAGACATTCCTAAAAATATATCTTCTCTGAGCTACACCTTTTCACCATAAATTGCATTTTACATCAGTGTTTTCCTTCTGCAGCTATTTGCAAATGTGGCTTTTCTAACACAGCAGTATTCCAAACTACCAGCACAGTTATTCTGCAACTTTCTGCCCTTTAGCTGACAATGTTATGTACATCTATCTCCACTGCTACTTAAAATATCTTCAGTGCTTCCTACAGCTCCTGTATTCTATTCACACGATTCCAAAAATCCTCTTGCTTGAAGATTTTCTTTAAGGCTACAGCACAATAACACCTACTTTCTCTCTTGTACATCTATCCACCTGCTCCGATTGCCATGATTTCTTCCACTTCGGATTCTAATCCTACCACTTTTGATGGCAGACTAACAGGCCTCAAAACAGAGATTTTTGGTTGCATACCAATAACTTGTATACTAATGTGCAGATGAAATGTATGAACATCACGAGCTAAACTTGGCTGTTCAGACAACACCTGAAATTAACCTCCACAACATATCTGTTAATTCACATGAAGTATATTGCGTATGCAGTTATAACTCTGCAAGGTTGCCTATAAACAGAAATAGATTATCCTTCTTCAGAAAGTATTGAAGTTACTATAGGCCACTCAATACTTTACTGGACCTTAAAGTGCTTCAATGAATAAGCAAACGCATAATTTATATTTGTTACCAGAAAAACACTGCAACGAGAATCTCATTTGTGATCTATTTCAAACATAGCTAATAAAAAAGTCTGTAAAGATCTTGTATTACCGTGGGCTTGTCAGAACTCATATATCAAGACCAAAAGAAGAGGCACAAATGGCTGTCTTCAGACATCAGTGCTATGCTGAAAAACGGTAAACTAGGGATAAGATAAAAGCTGAGGATTCTTTACATGGTTGGCAACTTAAAAATTCATTGACTTCAAAATCTTCCCTCAATAATAATAAAGTGTACCACACACGTTTCTATATACTTATTTACTAGCTATGTGGCAGGCACAGTGTACAACAAGGTGTAAATCAGATAAAGAGGTTTCATAGAAGTCATTTATACACAATAAACCAAGTGAACTAGGCTGAGTTTTTGTAGATGCTATGGATATAGGAAAATTACAAAACCCCTAGATAAACAGACAAGAATAAAATATAGCACTATGTATCAAACATACTTCTGTTTTCTTTTTGAGTGCCACTAAAAAACCGTACTGTTCACAGCTCATTCTGTGTTCCTGTAAATCATATATCTCATGTACAGATCTTTTATAAAGGCATCTCAGTACAACTTTTTAAAGTATATTCCTAAGTAACTAATTAACCAACATTAATCCCTCAGTCATCAGGGGGGAAAAGAAAACCCATCATTACCTGGCACTGGTTTTGGTACATTTTTAGATGCTCTCGGAGTTTCAGATTTTCCTCTTCTAGTTTATTCTTATTTATTGCTATTTCATTCACAGTTGCCTTCAGTTTTTCAATCATCAACTCATCCATTTCACTTTTGGACTGGTCACAGGTAATTACCTCTTCTTGTTCGTGTTTCTTATTGCTTATTTGGAATTGATAATTCTGGGTCTGCTTCTACAGAGCAAGAAAATCTTTTAAATGAAATTCAGTAATTCTATGTAAATTGCTAGGACCAGACCATTCCTATTTAAAACATAAGCTATTTCCATCTTCACCAGGATCTGCTTAGAAAAGATGGCACAATTGAAACAGCCTGCATAACTTCTCTAAAGGATTCTTCCTTTATTTAGTCTCATGTTCCTTGTCCTCAGTTAAAAAAGTGTTTCAGAGACTTTGAAGGGCACAGAAATTTTTCAAGGATATTTCTCCTCTGCTGTGTATTTCCCTAGTACTTAATGTTAATTAGCCTCAAATGTGGAAAAGGTGATTCTCATGACCTACACAAAGCAGTTACCTATAAAAAATAATTTGAGAGAAACATCCTTCTTTGATTCATTGAACTCGGTAGGAGTTGTGTGTGTGTGTGCCTCAGGATAGATATTAACCTTTGACTAGAGGCTAGCATTACATAGTTCATGTATAAACAGCTCAGTTACTACAGGAACTGCACTTTGATACCATTATCCTTAAACTTGGGGAAGATTCATCTGCATGTTCTGCAGAGTCCCACACTCCATTCAGTTTCATGTACTAATTAAAATCCTAAGACAAAACCTTCAGAAAACTGGTATTGCCAGGATTTGTGAACTCACAGGCCTCAAGAAGGATCATAATCACTATGGCAACTGGGCTTGCTGTTTAAAAACTTATCTGGATAGATCCCTCTACTGGGACATTAACAAGCAGCAGTAATTTTTCAGAAGACTGAGAATTCACCAAAAAATGACAATAAAATATAACCTGGAAACCATATTTCATATGCAGAGATCAAGTGAGCAAGAAAATGTGTATTAAAAATAAATAGCGTTACAAACGCTGTATGTCATTGACAAGGACTGCAAAAAGACATGCTTTAGACAGTTTTTGATGTACTTGATTATGTACCCATAATTTGTGTTGGCTGAACACTCAAGTAGAACTGACCACTTGGCTGCATAGCAAATGAAAGCCAAAAGAAATTTGGAGGTAAGATTCATTTCTATAGTGGACAAACTAAGGTCCTCTTGACATCAAGTTACAGAGTCTGACATACCAAACTGTTAAAACATCCCATGAAAAATAGAGTGCACGCCAGACTCCAGCTGGAAATCCAAGACCTCAGAAAAGAGGAATTTCAGACAGTCACAGGACCAGTTAATGCTTTCAGAACAGTTAAAGGGTAACAGTCCATCAGGCTTCTGTTTGATAAAGTAGTCAGTACTATGTTACAGTTGTGAAGAAAACTGTCTTCAAAGAAAGTTCGCTGACATCAGTGAAAGCCTCAACAGAAAAATGTGAATGAGCATTCTGTACTTTGACTTGTCTACCTAAATAATCAACATGCATCCCTCTAGTTTGGTCTTGTCAAAGTCTTGCTCCTTTAACACATTTGTAAGGAAGTTAGAGATACAATATAATGCTTTCAGCATTGAAACCCAAACCTTAACTGCCATCCTTGGAAACATTAAGATTCTCTTAGGAATTGTTAAGAAAGTGTTTCACTAGATTAAGATCCAATGATCTTGGTAACAGTGGAAAAGAGGATTACGAGTCAGCAATGTAATTGGCTTCCCCTTAGTTAATTTTTGAGCTGTCTTGTGGCCCAGTTCACTTGTAAGTTATTTTCTAATATTATTTTAGAGCAGGATAGGTCATCAAGACATCATTAAATCAATTTTCTGTTCTTCATTGGAAGGAATTAAAAAAATAAAAATATGCTGGATCAATAAACTGTCTAAAAAAAAGTAATAGAAAATTGGCAAGTATAAAACAATCAGGAAGTCAGGCAACAACTGAATGATAACTTCAAACTGAAAAGTATGATAAAAAAGGGGTAAGTGATCTAACAAACAACTCCAAGTTGTGATTTTGAAGTAGCATATAGAAATTTTTTTGCATAAATGATATTAATATATTGTTACGATCCTAAAAAAAATAAAAGAGGGCTTTCTTAGATTTGAGGGAACTTTGTATTTGATTCAAGCTAGCAATGGCATGCACTTCTTATTTGGTAAGATACTTTTCAATAACTTGTCATCACAATTAATTGCATATTAGTAAATAGCATAAAAGGTAAAATTATCCCCAAGCTATATTTAAAAAGGAAAAATTAACATGCCTTACCTAAAGGCCTGCCTTGCCTAAAGCAATGTATTCACTACCGATATATCCATGTATTGTCAGATTCACTGTAAGTTTAGTGGTGTTCAGACTTTTTTAGATTAAGATAAAAGAACCATAGCTGAGCTAACAGATCATTTTCTTCCTAAAGCAGGAAGATAAGAATTTTACCTGAAATAAATTACATTTCTTGTACAATAATTTTTGTTGAGCATCTAAATAATCAAGATAATTTTGGCAGATTGTCCCCATCTTATCCCATTCTCTTGATTTTGCCTTAAATTCCTGGAAGACAGCAAAACAAGGCTAGTAAATATAGGGCAAAAATCTTGATCTAAATAACTTTGCAATTTGTATAGTTCTAAGAAAAACCCAGTTGTTTAATTAACACAGAATCTTTCTGTAATTTTGGAAAAGGAGTAAAAAAGAGCAATGATACAAAGCAGCCATCCAGTCATCCCCACCAGAAAAAAAAAGTCTTAAAGATTGTTAATCTGAAAAAAAGGGTGTTAATAATTGTATAAAAATGATAAAATATTTTAAATGACTTCCAGCGCTGTAGATCTTGGAGTTATGACTATAGTACACCCATTTTAGTGGAGGGCAGTTCCTGTGACTTTAAAGCTATATCAGTGTCAAGTAGAGTAATCAGCAGGAACTCAGACCTTTAATGTACAGGGTTATTTTACCAAATTGGACAGCAGCTACTTTGAATAAGTTTTCCTTCTTGCTCTCTTTACATTTGCTGCTTCTGGTTCCAAGTTCACCTAGCTTAATCAAAAACTTAATAAAGAAATTCTATCATATCTGATTTATTTAGTACTGGGTTTGCATTTGCATTTATATCCCTATTTACAGTGTGTTTGAATTTGCTCTTAAATTGTTCCAGATCTTTTATGTTCACAAATAAATGTTAAAGGCAGTATCCCACAAAACCACATAGAACTCCAGTTACTAGAGCTGTTGTTCTTTTATTTTGAAGAATTAACCAAATTAACAGTATACTGTTTTATACAGTGAAAACTGTAATACTTATAATCTGTTATAAGAACTTCCTTTTCCAGAATAGAAATGTTGATTCCAAAATAATTTTTACGATTGTTCTGTACTGGTGTATTTCCCAAATTAAAAAAAATAAGATTTTATGTCCGAAATTGATTTGCTGAAGCAAAATTGATTGCTTTCCAACATATAGGGGACACCACCTAGAGTACTCAGTTTGACTCTGAAGACCCAACACAAGAGGGATGTGGACATGCTCAAGTGAGTCCAGAGGAGGCCACAAAGATGCTCTGAGGGCTGGAGCACCTCAGCTATGGAGACAGGCTGAGAATGCTGTGGTCGTTCAGCCTCAAGTAGAGAAGGCTCTGGGGAGACCTTAGAGCAGCTCCCAGTGCCTAAAGGGGACCTATAAAACATCTGTAGAGGGATTTTTTACAAGGGCATGTAGGGATAAGACAAGAATGGCTTTAATCTGAGAGAGGGGAGATTTAGATTAGACTGTAGGAAGAAATTCTTCACTACAAAGGTGGTGAGGCCCTGGCACAGGTTGCCCAGAGAAGCTGTGGCTGCCCCATCCCTGGCAGTATTCAAGGTCAGGTTGGATGGCACTTGAAGCAATCTGGTCTAGTGGACAGTGTCCCATGGCAGAGGGGTTGAAAACAGATGATTTTAAAGTCCCTTCCAACACAAACCAACATATGGTTCTATGATATATTAATACAAATCCTCTCTTACAGCTTTCCTCATATCCGGTTTGGCATTTTAAACCAATATATATCATTCTTTTTTACAAGATGCGATACAAATGGAGTTTCAGACTCTTTAATGAGGATGGCTGGTTCAAGGCCTTACTAAGGCACTGCTGAGCTTAGTAGATTTTCAACATGGTAATTATTTTGTGAATACTAGAATTCGCTGAATATATTCCAAGCACACATTTTTCATCCTGCATAATTAATCAAATTACAGCATTGTGTTACATTATTTTCACATCTTAATTTTGACGAAGGTTATTCTCAAATTAGCTGGATCAGATAGCTTCACAGTAGTGATATATTTTGTCAATGATAGATATATAACCCATTTATTATTCTTGTATTAGCAGATGTTGGCCGCTGCGCTGCAGTCCAAAGTGTAGTAGCTCTTCTGATGGTAAGGACTCTTCCATGCGGAAGAGACAACAACATTACGTAAAGCTAGAATGTGTCTAGGATGTGTCCTGTTATGTAGCAAAGTCATCTGAAGATTGCAGAGGTTAGTCCTGTATCTTGTGGAATAACATAGAAGACACGCAAGTATGCTCAAGTCCTTCTCCTCTGGGGTACTCTCAATCCCTTCATCCCCCAGCCTGTACTGAAATGGGTGTAACAAACAGTTTTCCAATACTGAATACTGTCTTATCTAGCCCTACATGGTTGAGTTTGTCCTGAGATCTATAAAACTTGAATTAATGGTAGGAATTACATGACTGTACCCTGCATATGTAAAAGATCTCATGCCTCAAGAGATTATATCATCCAGTACAGGATAATATAAATCCAGGATAATATATCCAGTAATCAGGAAAAAATAAAATCAATTTATAATTACATTTATGAAGAAAATTATCTGTATGAATTCATAGAACTATTAAAAAAACTAATAAAACTTGGATAAAAGAACAAAACCTGAATATTAATGATGCACCTTTTCTTGCTAGAGCAAGCAAATGATAAAATTTTTGTACAATTATCAGGAAATTAAAGTTCATAACTGTAAGCCACAAATTAGTCTAAAGGCACATTAAGATTAGAATATAATAACAAAGTATTCTTACCTGCAGTTTCTTGTATAAATTGCTCAGTTCAGATGGTGTCTCTATCCTTTCCTCACATTTTTCTCTACTTTCAACCTTTTTTTGTTTTAACTGATGTAACCGTAGCTTTTCATAGCTATGTGTCAACTTTGAAAGCTAAAATGAAAGCAGAGTTAAACATGCAGAATCTATCAAAGGTAACCACTTTGCCAAATTTTTCCTTAAACTATAATCCCCAACTGCAGCTTCAGCATTCTAAATATTTAATCAGCGTAACAAAGAGGCAGTCCATCAATAAAGTTAATTTATTAAAGATGAACAAAAGTAAGCTTTCATATGAATGTTAACTAACTTTTCACATGTGGTAATCTGACAGCTGTTTATTTCTCCTGAAGTCCTTTATGGCACAGTTACCCACAGTGTCATTTCCTCCACTACGTCTATATGGAATGTTCCATACTTGTTTACTGCCATCTTGTGTTGACATTTTTAAAGGGTGCTTCACTACCCAGATGAAGGATTAGCATTAATGCGTTTTAAACTTGAATGTTTTTTATCATGAACATAGTTGAAATGTTATATGTGTGATGACTGCATTCTTCTTGAATCATTAAGTGCCAAAGAGTGTCTATGGGAATTAGACACTAAGTTCTGCCTATGGATCTTACCATGGAAGCAAGGCTTGGGAGTCAGAGGCAAAAGAGTCAGAGGCAGAGAAGGAAGGGGACCAGTAGAAGTACCACTCTCTTCAGAAGGTACCAGCTTCTTCAGAAAAACAACCAGTCTGATAAGCAGTGAGCTATACTGCACAAGCAAAGGGACTATGGCCATTAACAGGCTTGACACAGCAAACTGACATATACTGGTAGCGATGTGTACATCTAGGTTTGAAATCAAAAAAACAAGAAAATCAAGGATATTGACAAAGGAAGCACTTAAGATATGGTCTTGATGGATGCTGAGTGTTCTTTTCAAAGCTGACAACTATGAACACCAATCATGCTGTTATGTTCTTTTAGATTCAGGTATATATGACTTAAAAATTCTGACTCTAACATAAAGTTATTTGACTAGGCAAATAAAATCCATAAAATCTCGTGGTTTTGTTAACTGCTCAAGTGAACTACTGTTTGGAAAAGAAATCACTTCCAAGGAAGTAATTGGAAATGGAATTGAATCCTATTAAACAGACGAGGAATAAGCAATTGAGATCTGTGCAGATAACAAAAGTGGTCAGAGTAGTCCAGAAAAGATACAGAACAGAAATTGGAGTTTAAAAATCATCTGGAAACTTCCTAGAGATATTTGAAATGATTTTGGGAACTCATACTATGGAACAGCAAAAAAGAATTGAAAAGATGACCAGAAGATAGATTGCCCTAGACTACAAAGTTTCATGAAATAGGGAGGCTGGGATAGAGTTAATTTTCTTCCTAGTAGCTGGTGCAGTGCTGTGTTTTGGATTTAGTCTGAGAATAATGCTGATAACACACCGATGTTTTAGTTGTTACTAGGTAGTGCTTAACTCTAAATCAAGGACTTTTCAGTCTCTCATGCTCTGCCAGGGAGGAGGGGCACAAGAAGCCAGGAGGGAACAGAGACAGGACACCTGACTCAAACTAGCCAAAGGGGTATTCCATACCACAGCACATCATACCAAGTATATAAACTAGGGGGGAGTTACCCAGAAGGGACTGATTGCTGCGCGAATCAGGCTGAGTATCAGTCAGCAGGTAGTGAGCAATTGCATTGTGCATCACTTGGGTTTCCTGAATTTTATTCCTCTTCCTTGCTTTCTCCTATTATAATTATGATTTCTATTATCATTATATATTAATTTATTTCAATATTAAACTGTTCTTATATCAACCCATGGATTTTACCTTCTTCCAATTGTCTTCCCTATCCGTCTGGTGTGTGGGGTGGGGAGGAATGAGTGAGTGGCTGCATGGTGCTGAGTTACCAGCTGGGTTTAATCCATGATACCACAACAGGAGGTCCAGGGACAGATTTGCCCAACTTAGAATTTCTGAATGTAAATCCAGTAACATGTACGTACAGAGCTGAGATACCATCTTCAAAACAGAATCAAAAGTCTTGCAGGGAAGCTGCCTATATTTGAAGTTGACCTTGCCAGAGAACACAGTTAAGATAAAATATTTAAAATGGGTCAGAGTATCCAGGTTCAAGCAACATGGAACTCATTGACTCTGGAAGAAATATATCCTTTTTCAAATAACAGTAGTTTTGTTCTTGAATATCATGGAATATGTGAACTGCCTGGGAAGAGCAAACTCACATGAAGTTATTAGACTTCATGTGAAAAGGTAAGGAAATACAGGATCCAACACTTCAGGAAACCAGTCCAAAATGGAACAGAATATATTAGACACAAATCACTGCTGCTACCACCAATGATAATAATGATAAAGGAAATAACAAGGGAAGAGAATACATGTGAAAACCCTGCAGTAAGGGGCAAATAATACCTCTTTGGTCAGTTTAGGTCAGGTGTCCTGCCTCTGCTTCCTCCTGGCTTCCCCTCCTCCCTGGCAGAGCATGAGGCTCACAAAGTCCTTGGCCAAACCAAAACATTGCTATCAGTTCTGTTCCCAGGCTGAAAGTCAAAACACTGCACTGCACCAGCTACCAAGAAGGAGAAACATGACTGCTACTGCTGAACCCAGGACAAATATCCAAAATGATAATATATAATTATTTTAATATTAAATTAAAGAAAGTAGGATATCTCACACATTATTGTCTGGATGTTATCATGACCAGTAACTAGACTAAAATCCAAGATTCCTTCAATTTAATGCTAGATATTTGATTTAAAAATTACATCCAAGTTGTTCTTTTTGCACAGAGCACAAGTGAGTTCTGGCATTTTAGTGAGCTCTGGGGTGGAAGACTTTATCTAAGTTTAGTAGCCATCCAAGCCTGAGTTACTCTGCATTAGAAAAGCTGCCTTCAAAAGCTTAGTCATTTCAGTTATCTGAAATTCTTGTCACAAACTGACATAAATTATATTCTAGGGGTGTCTATTTCCTTGATACTAAAGGAAGCCTGAGCTAGCTCAGATGTAGCCATCTAGCTTTTAAATGTGTAAGTGAGGCAATTAGTTGCCAAAGTGCTTAGAGCAAGAATGGACTCTTATTCTTTTGCTGAAGAATTTCTGTCATTTTCAGAAGGAGAATAACTACCAAACAATATTGAAAAAAAAATATGGAGAAAAGTAATGAAGATAAGCCCCTAAAGTTTTTGCTATTTAATTATGAAAGAGTTGTATATTTGCATGAGAGCAGCAGTGCGCCCTAAGAGCTTCAGGTAACATATCAGAAATTATTTCCCCAATACAAGAAAAACACTGATTTTTCTTCATTCAAAAGACACACAATTCAGTGGGAATGTTGGTTATTAAATAGCTGCTTTTATCAGGAGCAAGGTTAAAAAGCACAGAGGACCACAGAAGCAAGAGTATGACAGAGAGATTTGTTCTGAATAGGCTAGCATTCTGAGAGTGAGAAAAAGAGATCCTATTTGTACCAAAATTAGGAAGGAACGAAAATTGGGAAGGATTTTAAGAATACATCTGCAGAGAAAAATACGATGTTACTGGTAAATAGTAACACACTAAATTTTAGCTTTTAAGGTTATACAGCAGAGAAGGAGGTCTAACTTTCAAGTGAGGGTAAGAACCAAAAGGGAAAGGAAATTTGATATTGTCAGGGAAGCTTGAGACTTTAGGTATGAGTTTGTGCAGCTCAGAGTCAGGGAAACTGAAGTCATTCTATTGTAGACACCACAGCACTGTAATTTAAGGAAGAAACTGAATAAGGAGATGTGGCAAAAGCTGGTGGAGCAGAGCAAAATAGACCTACTGTCTGTCACAGGAATTTTTCTGGAATGAACTGGAATTGTTTTGACAGGCAAGTTTTCTGTTCATCACATAGAGAATCTAGGCAGGCCTCCTAACTTAGGCACTTTTTGGGATGGATATTTCATGAAGAAATGTGGTATGGTGAAAGGAGACGAATGGGAATTGGAAAAAAAAATGCAAATGGCATCACTGCAGGAACCTTTGGTAAAATAAACAGAATGACTGATAGAAAGGAAATATTTGGACACATAGACTGGGAAAGTGATGCATATTCTTAAGAGCTAGAAATACAAACTTGTTGCATAAAGATAAAAGAAGAAGCAATCAGAAAATTCAAAGAAAGGTTAGGTTGTCTGAGTGATGGGTAAAATGCAGAAGCCTGGCAAGAACTATAACCAGGTTTACAGAGAGAAGCTTGTGGATTAGGAGGTATAAGACTGTTAAAAAAAAACACAGAAAAAACAGATCATACTGACCCAAGGTAAAAAAAAACAACAACAAAACCACAGAGAAAACAGATTGTACTGACCCAAGGAAAGGACTTACAGGTAATGAACAGCTTCACAATCAACATTTTGAAAGTTACAGTTTCCTAAAGTTCCCTTTCAGTGAAGTTCTGAGCAATAACACATAACATAAACCCATTTTTAGCTTATGATAAATAAAAATTGAATGAAAAATATTTCAGCAAATGTGAAAAAGGATGAGAAAACAGATCTGCTGTATTTTGGGGGATAGTTCTGCATTGCTAAGAGTACTTTACAACTGCCATGTAAAAAGTCACAGTTTTTCATTGTATGGTGTTTATCTTCTCAGTGATCATGCTAAAATACTGTTTCTTTTCCTGTAATTTGTGTCAATTATAAAACAGCATTTATTTCTAGGTACTTCGCAAAATAATTTAAAGTGTTAATTATATAACAACCAAAGCATTTACTGCTTACACACAGAGCTGTTTGCCAAACCAATTTCCATATATAAAAAAAATAACAGAGAACATGCACTTAAAAGTAAGCTATACATTTATTCATTTTATGGATTTGGGTGGTGTTATCACCTCTAAATGAATATAATGATATCCAATTCATGCAATCCAATGACTCCATGGTAAGTTTAATGACTGGGAATTTTTAATTTTAACACTAAACCCCTGGTAGGAGAATCTAGTGAAGGAAACAGTAGAATAGAAGGAAAAACAAACAAAAAAAACCAATGCAGAATTGTGCACGTTAACTTGTTAAAATCTGCAAAGCAGAATAGACTGAAGTTTGCTAAGAATTTAGATTCATGATTAAAGTGGAAAATAATGAAGAGACAAAAGTACAGACACAGGACAAACACAGCCAAAGACAGTCACAGAATCATAGAATCACAGAATGGTTTGAGTTGGAAGGGGCATTTAAAGATTGTCTACTCCAAGTCCCCTGCAACAGGCTTCCACTAGACCACAACATTTTCCACTAGACCAGCTTGCTCCAAGCCCTGTCCAGCCTGGCCTTGAACACTGCCAGGGGATGGAGCAGCCACAGCTTCTCTGGGCAACCTGTAACAGCGCCTCAGAGAGCTCATTTAAAAGAAATAAATATCCTTCCTTATGTACAATTTAAATCTCCTGTCTTCCAGTTTAAAAACCTTGGTCCTTCTGTTACTACAGGCCCTGGCAAAAAGTCTCTCCCCATCTTTCTTATAAGCCCTCATTAAGTACTGAAAAGCTGCAATAAGGTCTTCCCAGAGCCTTCTCTTCTCCACTCTAAACAGCCTAAACTCTCTCAGCCTTTTGTCATAGGAGAGATGCTCCAGTCCCCTGATCATCTCTGTGGCTCTCCTCTGGACCTGCTCTAACAGGTCCATGTCTTTCCTGTGCAAAGGACCCCAGAGCTAAACACAACACTCCAGGTGGGGTCTCATAAGCATGGAATAGAGGGGGAGAATCATCTCCCTTGACCTGCTGGCTATGTGTCTTTTGATGCAGCTCAGAACATGGTTACTTTTTTTTGGGCTGCAAGTACACTCTGAAATAAATAAAGCCAAACCAAATTCCCAGCATTAATAGTCCAAGTTACTCTAGTTTTGATACTATGTTCCCTTATGGAGAGCTATCAGACCACATCAATAATCCCTGTAAATCAGGCAAACTAAACCCAGAAAAACTTGTGGCAAAGACATGATGAGAGCAGTTTAAGTCTAAATATTCCTGATGTGCATCAGAATCTTACTGAGCTGAATCTAATTATGTATTTTATTCATTCACCAAGGTTTTGGTTTATTAGTCAGGACATCAAGTATCTGCCTTTATAACAGATGTTGCAATCACATCAAAATCCATCAAAAGAATTTGGACATGTCACTACAGAAATGACACTGGAGCCTGGTAAGAAGCTGAAGTCATTATCATTTGTATGACATGATTCATCTTTCCCAAATCCATAAAGGTACATCTATACCATTAGGCATTAGGTTCTTTATAGTGCAATCATAAAATCATGAAATTGACAGTTTTCTTACCTCAGATCTCAGTTCTTGAAGCTGAATTTCATAATTCTGAGCCATTTCATATTTAGTTTTCTGTAAGTTTTCCAGTTTCTGTTGAAGTAGTCTCACCTACAGTTACAATAAGTATTCAAACTTACCTTTTCTGAAGTGTTCCAAAGTATATCATTTTTGGATTAATAATTTGAAACCTTGAAAGCAGGCATGTGCTTAAAAGATAGATGCTAAAAATATATACTCATTCAGTAACTTAATAACAAAACTGGACACCGCGAACCCACATTGTGTCAAAATCAAGTTAGGGATTTTATAGTAAAAAGTCTCACTGTATGCTTATGCTATGACTTAATGATAATACTGTATGAGCCTGTCATGAAAGACCATTTAATGCAGTTTTTCTGACCCAACTTTATGAACTGCTGTGCTCCATTAAGCAAGTTTTGCTTGAATGGCTTACACAATCCTATTAATGACTTTCAACTAGTTATGTTCAAATTGTTGGGAGATACTGTAGTCTCATTTCAGCTCCCTAAGTAAAGTGCCATTTGAGAAATCTTGAATTACCTGAGTTGGACAGAGACCTGAGAAATATGACAAAGAGCATACATGACATCTATATTTTTCAGGTGAGAGCAGCTGGAAGATAGGTAGAATATGCAAAAATATTTCAGGTAACATCTCCATACAGGCAAATAAATTGATGCTTTAAGGACTGGATTAGATGAATTATTCTCTTGGCTTCTCTGGCTGCAGTGACTAAGGGCAAGTTCATAATTGCTCATTAGGGAGAGTTATTTCATTTTCAAAGCTCCCTCTGGCAGTTCAAGATACCTAGCTCACACGATGATGCCCAACTGTAAACACCTAACTTCAGATGTCTTGAACTAGAACTGAATGTTGTGCTAGGATTTACTGATGCTTCTAAATGAATATTCAGAAGACAAGACTATGAAGTACAGGCAACATCAGGTACACTGTGGCTGTCAGTTTGATAAGCAAGTCTTAAGTGGTGATACACTTTGGATCTTCACTCTTAATAATAAAATTATCATACAAAGACAGTATATCATGTAAAATAATAAAAATCAGGTGTAAACGGGAAATACAAAGATGTAATTTTCTGAAACTTTTTGAACTGTACATTTCTATTTAAAATTTTTGACGAAACTAGAAGTGTTGGCATTTAGAAAAAACATCACGTTATCTTTTTACAGGTAAACTGAGGATATTCAATTTAGTCTTTAGGGAAACAGAAGGAATATGAGACTTTCAATGACATTTTTACAATCACTTTTTGGAACAGAAGCACACTTTAAGGCATAACACTAAGGATAATTAGTGACCTTTAGAGGGTGTTTGGTATTTTTACATGCTAGAACAAACACATCTTCTTACAGAGCATTTAGAGCACACTATTAACTAACCACCAGAATAAATACTTTCTTTATAGAATGTGATATTCTTAAATACCTCTTGACCTTTTTGATCCAGTTCGCTTTGGGCACTTGTTAATTCTTGATTCTGGATATCCATCTTTGCTTCTAAAACTTTCATCTTCCTTTCCCATTCCACTTTCTTGCTGTTTACCACAATATCAATTTGATGCACTAGTTCCGGAAGTTCAGTTTCACATGCAGAAGTTCTAATAATGTAAAAAACAGAGATTTATTTTTTCAAATACAGAATAAGGGAGAAAACAATTTTTTTAGTTACATTGCTAAGATTTTATTTTAATTCTAATGGAAATAATTACTTTTTCAATATCAGGAAGAAAGAAATGGGAACATTAAATGATGCCTTCAAATGCAGGTAGAATCTCATTTCATCCATCTTTAGTTTGCCTAAAGTAAAAATCAGAGTATTTAACATATTCTGAACTATTTGTCTAGCTTAAATGCTGTTTGATATCCTTTTACTCCTTCAGGGATGAACTGTGATGTAAGCGTAAGTTAAGTTGAAAGTATCCAGGCCCAAACCTCAATGGACAAAGCTGGAGGAGCTGAATATTAAGTTGCTACTGGGCACAGGACTTCCCAGTAAGAGTATATAAGGATGAAAGCAGTTTGTTATTAAACAGCCAGATTTAAAGCGAAGCACAATACTTAATTGCTAGTTCAATTCTACACTGTTTTCCCATTTTGTATGTGGAAAATGGACTTACATAACAAGGTGACTTGTATAATAATAGGAAGGTTTTATTCTACTACAAAGCACAGAAGTGCATTTTGAAAAAGAACTTCTCTTTGGGGGACTGTGTGGTGGATTTCATAGAGGTTTGTATAATATCTGCAACATATACATTTTATTTTTTTTCCAGAGTTCTGAGGTTAAATTTGGAATACACCCCCTGCATTACAACTTCATTATCAATAATAGGCAATGTCTTACTCTGTTGCTTCTAGAATATGATGTATCCTAAGTAGCAGAATAATGATGTATGGTGAATTTATGCTATATTAGAAACTGCTTTTGTTTGGACAGTGTGAAGCAATGTTTAAATCAGCTGATGTATACCATTTAGCGCATATACACAAAGTATCTGAACTTTAGCATGGAGATTTCTTTATTCTAAATCCATTCGATACCAACTTTGTATTTGATGATGAATAGAAATAAAAAAAATGAAATAAGAAAGATACAGACTATAGAAACTTTGGTTCTGGATGCTTTTTTATGCAAGAGATTGTATAATTCTTTCTACTCTCTAGAACATTTTATTTGTAGAAAATGACAATTTCACATCAAAATGTTACAGTCTTTCTGGGGTATATGACATTTCTTTACTGAAGTTTATTGCCCAGTTAAGCTCAATTGTTTTATGAGCTGGTAGCTCCTCTCAACCTCTACATTTACAGCTGGCATTTTACATTTGCAATTATTTATTTAAAAGTCAGACTCTTTCTAGAACTCATGGATCTGTTCATCTTCCTGGGAAAAATTCCAGTTTGATTTTATTTTTATGTCATAATTAAAAATGTTTACTGAAATGTTCCTGTTTATTTTCCTAATTTACTGCTTCTTATTGAATTAACCTGGAATTCTAGAGTTTGGGAAAAATGATATTTGAGACAATGTACACTCTTGCCTAATTCCTCCCCATAAAATAAAGAAGGGGAATTTTATTCCATTAACATTCAGAGGTGCTTTTGGACTGCTGCAAAGAAGGCTGAGCTATTGAACAAATTGCTTCACTATGTATAGGAGCCCATAAATTTTCTATAAAACTTTATTTCCATCTAGTCATTTGGAAAAAAAAGTCAACTTTATTTTGTATCGCTGTGATTAATTACACATCACCAAACCCAATCTGTTATTTCTCAATCACTGAAGACTTTAATTTAATCTCAGTTTACTTAAATTGAGATATTAATTCTATATCAGAATTAGTTCAGACAATGTTTCTGATAAAAGTCTTTAGCAGACTTACTACTGTATCACTTGCTTTGTGTCATTTATCAACTTAATTTGGTTTTGGAAAAGTCATACACAGAACGTTGGCTGTAGATAATTTTATACTAAGCACGTATCTCACTGGAGCAAAAGAAAACCTTTCCCTGACTGTTTTTAACCAGTGGATTAATGTGTTGAGTTTTAAACTTTTGAGGGGTAGCATATCTTTCATTTCACTTTCTGTAAACATTTAGTTCCCACACAATTGTTTTACAATCTCTTACCTGCACATCCTGTTCTCATGAGTTAACTGTCTATAAACTTTTCAACTTCTTTCTCATTTCTTTTTTAGAGCTTTTCTAATACCTTTGTCCTTACCTGTTCTAGTTTTAATTGGTTTACTTTTTTTTTTTCTAAATAAGAGATTCTATTTATGTTACCTTAATCTACAGCTTTATTATTGGAGAGGGACTCATCACTAGGGACTGTAGTGATAGGACAAGGGGTAATGGGTTAGAACTTAAACAGGGGAAATTTAGATTGGCTATAAAGAAGAAGTTCTTTACTGTAAGGATGGTGAGGCACTGGAATGGGTTGTCCAGGGAAGCTGTGAATGCTCCATCCCTGGTAGTGTTCAAGGCTAGGTTGGACAGAGCCTTGGGTGACATGGTTTAGTGTGAGGTGTCCCTGCCCATGGCAGGGGGGTTGGAACTAGAGGATCTTAAGGTCCTTTCCAACCCTAACTATTCTATGATTCTATGATTCTATGATTAATTTTTGTAGAAGACATACTTTTATCTTATCTTTGTCACATGTTCTTTAGTCATTGCAACTACATCTTGGCCATGAAAAAGATTATTCCCATTTAAAATCTTAAAATTACTCTTATCAATGGTATGATCTGATCTTTGTGCAAATTTCTGCATATTTCCCTTTGCAGCTATTTAGAGGTTAGTGTATCCAATTACTGCTGTATCTAAATGAAAGTACAAATATAGTCAGTGTTGTTTCCCCACTGTCAACTCTCTCACCCTTATCTCAACCAGTTACACTGTTAGTAAACTGTCAGTGGTACATCCGCTTTATCTTCCCTTTTTGCATTTGTCACAGTGTATTCACAGAATCACAGGGTCATTAGGGTTGAAAAGGAACTTTGGAGATCATCCAGTCCAACCCCTCTGCCAAGGCAGGGCCACCTAGAGCAGGTTACACAGCATTCATTGTACAACTGAAGTTTAATCTACATTTCTATTTCCTGATACTGTTGCATAATTTTCAAGTCTCTTCTTATTCTTTTTTGGTTTTGATTAGAATCCTGTATTGAATTCCCCGTTGATAGAGCCAACAATCGTATTCTTTCATAAATTTATCAACTATCCCTCTTGATAGCTAAACTGATGCAAAAAAATGTATTGTAACCTATTACTTTTTGTGATAATAAATTTAGCCTTCTGTAAAATGAGTTTCTTCACTTAAAATGGTCTCAGGATGCTGTGACATCATTTTGAGTTATGACATGCTCCATTTTCCTTTTAATAATATTACTTATCTCACTGGCATTTTCCCCCAAGGTAAAAGTGATGGCCACTGGCTATAATTGAATTGGTTCTTTCATTTATAAAAACTTAAATGGTATGTATTCTCTTGACTGCTGACAGTACACACCTCTGTGTGCCTCTATGTGCACAAGAAGTGCCTTTCTGATCACTAATCAGTTTGCAGCCATTGTAATATCTCTGTGGCACAATGGTTCATTAAAATGAGCATAGCTATTTCCTTAAAATGAGCATAGCTATTATTTTATGAAATAATTGCCATAGAGACAGTCACACAGTGACAAAAGACCATGCAGCATGTGAATAATGAAGCAGGAACCTAGGAAAGGGTTAATGATAAAAAGCACAGCAGTGTGCCTGTATCTGCTCCATCCTAGGAAGTGCTGGAGAGGCTTTCAGTACCCAAAAGTAGCACAGAATGTCATTTTGTGTCACGAACATTGCAATCTTGCGTATGTTTTTGGGGGGACAAAAGAGAATGTGCCAAGCAATTAGGAGCTCTACTTTAGCAGAACTGCACTTAACCAAACACAGAGCCATGTGTTCAGAGGCTATATCCCTCTTGCCAGTGAGTCTTCAACTGCTGAGCAGGCTGCCAGCACAGTGCTGAAGAACATGTAAGCCAGCTAACGTGCTCCTCACTTTAAGTGACTGTGCAAACCAAGACTTCATGTAAGCAGCTGCTTTTACTCCTGGTAGTTGATACCACCATCTTGTGTGAATGCTAGCATGAAAATGTTTCCTTTCTTTTGTGGTAATGTTTCATATTGCAGCAGTGAAGCCAGCTCTCCAAATGTCTGCCCTTCTCGTGCCCATGTTGAAATCCCCTGTCTGTAGGTTGTGCTCTGGGTCAAGCACTGGTCCCATACACCCTGCGTTTCATACCCTGCATGCTCAACTTCTGAATGCACTACACTAAAAAAAAGAGTTCCTTAGCATGGATAGGTGTCTATTGAATATACATTTTTTGTTCTTAAGTGGTGCATATTGCTTGTTTTGATAATTGCTACAGGAAAATGGAGCAAATTTGTTAGATTTACAGTATTATAATTAAAACTCAACATGATTTTCTATCGTAAAATTCTTTAAAACTTTTTCATCAACAAAGCCTTAAAACTTCACCATTATGCTAAGCTTGGAAAGGCTTTTTAAATGCAAATATAAATCTTAATATCTTTTTAATGTTAAAACTGTTAGCAATGCCATCTTAAAAATTTAATATGAGTCACAGAATGATAATAACCAAAGTGCAAGCAAGTATTACACTGTGATGTACGGATCACAAAACAAAAATGCCCCCCCTTTGAGGGCCTGAAACTCATCTCAAAATAGCATTAATGATAAAGCAAGCTTGGATTCCCTCTGGGTGCAATATAAAATGGCATTTTGAAAACAGAAGATGAAGTGACAATGCATCAGGACTACCTTTTCTTTGATATTGCTCTAAGGATGTGCCCTTCCAGCCTTATGTAATGTCAGGTGGCAACACTTTGGTGAACCACTAGCAATGACTCAGCTATCTAATTTTATCCTTCAGAAACAGGCACCTTATTACATGTCACATGTATCATCTAAATATTGTTATGCAAGTGGAAATGCAACTTCTAGCATGGATCATCGGGTTACCCTTTCAAATCCCTTTCAGATGTCATGGCTGACATCTTTCCCTCTTCAGTTTCACCTGTCTCCTTCAGATCATCCCGAAGAAAGCAAGTCCTGCAGCTGTGGCTAGAAAATTTTCTCTCAACAACTCTTGCATGCTTCTTAAACATAGAACCACCAATATATAAAAAGTAGTGTTGAAGAAAAAAACCCTTCCAAAACAGCTTCTCAGTCTATCTTCACCTTCTCTCTCTAATTCTTTACTTAGATCCTGTAGGTACAGCTGCAGCTGAAAAAGGAAAGCTGTACCCGAAGCTGTCGATTACTGCTGCTGTTCTACTACCAGAACTACTCTGTATTGTGGTTGTGGTATTACAAATAGATCTGCATAGGGATGTCTTTGGCAGTTATCCCCACCTACTAGCATAGAGATACTACTAGCTGCTGTAATTATTAATTACAGGCAGGGGGGTTGGAACTAGATGACCTTAAGGTCCCTTCCAGCCCAAACCATTCTATGATTCTGTGATCACTGGATGTGGAATGTGGAAAACATGGAAAACTGATATATTTTGTTTAATATGTCATCAGGTAAACAAACACACAAAGGAACAAGTATTCCCATAAAGTGAAGAAGTATGCTTATGGTCTTTTACTCATATGCATTCAGCATTCCCACCTCACTGAAGGCATACATCAAATGGATTCTTCATACATGGAAGTAATGAATTGCACTTAAGCAAGTGGCAGCTCTTTTTTGCTTAGTTGCATTTACTTTGAAACAGCAGAAAACACAGGTATCTCCATTTTAAAGTGATGTAGGCAAGCTCTTAGATTTGTTTTATTCTCTTTCCAAATTGGTGAAAATAGAGATTATTCATATTCTGCTGTCATTAATGACTGTTTATCTTAATGTAAAATCTAAATACTTCCAAATTTAGACAACCCAAAATCCAGGCAACAAGTTTTGCCATCTCTGAGTCTTTATCACAAACGATTTTGCACTAGTTAGGCCTTTCTAGCTCTATTTATCTGTCCTTTTCTTTGGAGTTCTGCACAGATCAGTATTTTTCTGATTGTTTCTCAAAAGACATAGAAAGATTATTATTGTCCATACACTCTAGAATAAAGTTGTAATTCAGAAACTGACATTCTAAGAAATGTTTGGTTCATGCTGTCAGTCTTTCTTTCATGCCTTCCTCCCTTATTACTCAGGTTTGCTGACAAATAGGAAAATATGCATGGCCATATTTAGGCTAAACAAGCAAAACTTATGCAGAACAACATTAACAAAGATTTCCATCTTACATCGTTCATTCACTTGCCATTGATCCTTAACCCAGTTTCTAGACCAATATTGATTCATTTTATATTCTTTAAACTTGCTTTAAAAATAGGAAATATATAAACCTCTTGTGATACAATAGTCCTTTAGAATCTTCTATCCCAAAATTCCATTACATGAATTAAACCAAATTTATTTAACAATTTTCAGCCATACAGAATCACACACAGCTGTGGATGGATAATTTGTGACTTATGAGTTCTTGCAGCTGGGATGTAATTGTCATGATTTCCACCAGCATTATTCTACCACCTTCCCAAACTGTAAAGCTATCTGCATTATCTCTGGAATACTCTCAGCATAGACTGAAATGAGTATCTCCTGCTATTAGATGTGTATTTCAAACTACTCTTCCAGGTTCGTTTTACAGTTCATTGAAATAAATAGCTACTGAGAATAGCTGGTTTAGGATGAGACAAATCACTTTCTAGATTCATCTGCAAAAACCTGAAATTTCCCATGTGTCAATTACAACAAAGGCAAGGCAGAGTCTGAACTCCTGAAACTGGCTTCTGACGTGTTAAAATAGTACCCAAAGAATAGCGATATTTTGATTATTTTTAAAATTCAAGTTTTTATATGACTGTATTTACCAGTCATTTCACTAACAAAAAGAATGTCCCTTAGAGCCATAAATAGGGACACATTGTTCAGAATATAATATTTTACTGCAGCAATTTTTTCCTATCATGAGAAGTGCACACATTGTTCTTCAGTACAACAGAGCACACTTTCAAATCCTATTAAAGCTTTCTTGGTCCAGAATAAGATGTGATAGAACATGTATTTCTGTTATTTAATGAAAGACTTTACACTTAGTATGTGTCATATTGTCATATTATCTTGGACTGCTTCAGGGTAATAATGATAGATTAAACTATTTAATATGAAAAATGGGTAATAAGTTTATTTACAAATTATAATAGCTAAGTATTATATTTATATGGGGAAGTACTTTTTATATTGTTGTGTTCCTTGATCAGTCTGGACAGGATGAGGTATTATATCAAATCTCACCCATTTTTACACTTCTTTAGAAAGATGATCTGCTGTACTAATGTTTTTTTAGATAGCACTAAAATAAGTAAACTTGGATTATGTCAAAAGTGATGATCATGGTGCGATGAAAAATGCACTTAATAATTAGGAAGAACTTCTGTGGTTCTTACCTGTGCAATATAAGACCAGGGTTTTAGCAATCAATAGCCTTGTTTTTAAGATTTTTGAATGCTTTAAGAGCTGCTGTAGCCCAGCAACTTCAACTATTTTTAAAAACAGTTTCAAATGCCATTTCTTAACATCTTAATAAAACCCCACATAACTTTCATTTTCCCCCTTTGGTTCAGGTATGAATATATAAAAGAAATAAATAACTAACAGTCAGTAGATTATTGCCTAAAGCAGTAAGGTTTGCTGTCTTAATTATCACTAATCTCTCCAGTTTGCATAGAAAGCAGCAGGAGAAATTGAAAAATAATCATGTTTGCTTCTAAAATCAGTAATATTTTATATTTCACATTTTTTAATAAACCCTCATAACTCAATCTCATTGTATATTCAACTCCCAGACACTAAGTCATTACTTACTTAGTGACAGCTTGTTCCTGAAATGCTTCTAAGTCCTGCTCCATGTTATTCTTAATTGTTTTAACCTGTTGAAATAACAAAACTACATCATTCAGATACTTAAATGCATGCATTTACACGGGCAAGTAGTGCATACTGGGTAGTTCCATGCTTTCCTTTCAGTTTCTGTGATTCTTCCACTGCAAATAACAGGGGAATGTAGCTCTAATTACAGGCTGGAATGGGCAAGATGAAAACTTCTGAAGTTAGCTCAGCTCAGTGTCAGTAACTCTTGCACTCAGTGCAGCACTGAGATACTAGAGGAGGTGCGAGCTTGAGGATAACCCTGGATTTCCATCCAGGGAAGTCTGCTTTGGGTCATTCTCTGTTGTGTGATGTCAGTGATTTGCCAAGACACATTGGAACATAAAAATGTAAGTATGTACCAGACCTACGGCTGCATTCATCAACACACCCCAATTAATCTATACCCAGGCTATACTTGCTCTCCAACACAATTTTGGACTCCTATTGACGATTCACTCCTTTACTCAGCAGACACAAGTACTTTGGCAGAAAGATCAGAACATGACTGTTGCTGGGGCCACTCCAGTTCTGTGGGTTCAGCTGCACACAAGGACGTGGGGCAAGCCTGGCATGCAAGAACAGGAACCAAACACATTAAAGCCCTAATTCCTCGTGGTGGTTAGCAGAGGGGCTCTCAAAGGCATGGATACCAGTACAGACAGATGTGTGGACTCTGCCACATGGCACTGCAGCCTTGGATCCACAGGGCACCAGCACTGGAGGTGACACTGCCACAGGGCAGTCACGGCTCTAACAGGGCACCCAGTACCAGAGGTGACACTGCCACAGGGCAGTCACGGCTCTAACAGGGCACCCAGCACCGGAGGTGACACTGCCACAGGGCAGTCATGGCTCTAACAGGGCACCCAGCACCGGAGGTGACTGCCACAGGGCAGTCATGGCTCTAACAGGGCACCCAGCACCTCTAACAGGGCACCCAGGTGACACTGCCACAGGGCAGTCATGGCTCTAACAGGGCACCCAGCACCGGAGGTGACACTGCCACAGGGCAGTCATGGCTCTAACAGGGCACCCAGTACCAGAGGTGACACTGCCACAGGGCAGTCATGGCTCTAACAGGGCACCCAGCACCAGAGGTGACACTGCCACAGGGCAGTCATGGCTCTAACAGGGCACCCAGCACCGAAGGTGACACTGCCACAGGGCAGTCATGGCTCTAACAGGGCACCCAGCACCGAAGGTGACACTGCCACAGGGCAGTCATGGCTCTAACAGGGCACCCAGCACCGAAGGTGACACTGCCACAGGGCAGTCATGGCTCTAACAGGGCACCCAGCACCGGAGGTGACACTGCCACAGGGCAGTCATGGCTCTAACAGGGACCAGCACCGGAGGTGACACTGCCACAGGGCAGTCATGGCTCTAACAGGGCACCCAGCACCGGAGGTGACACTGCCACAGGGCAGTCATGGCTCTAACAGGGCACCCAGCACCGGAGGTGACACTGCCACAGGGCAGTCATGGCTCTAACAGGGCACCCAGCACCGAAGGTGACACTGCCACAGGGCAGTCATGGCTCTAACAGGGCACCCAGCACCTGAGGTGACTGCCACAGGGCAGTCATGGCTCTAACAGGGCACCCAGCACCGTAGGTGACACTGCCACAGGGCAGTCATGGCTCTAACAGGGCACCCAGCACCAGAGGTGACACTGCCACAGGGCAGTCATGGCTTTCATGGCTTTAACAGGGCACCCAGCACCGGAGGTGACACTGCCACAGGGCAGTCATGGCTCTAACAGGGCACCCAGCACCAGAGGTGACACTGCCACAGGGCAGTCATGGCTCTAACAGGGACCAGCACCGAAGGTGACACTGCCACAGGGCAGTCATGGCTCTAACAGGGCACCCAGCACCGAAGGTGACACTGTCACAGGGCAGTCATGGCTCTAACAGGGCACCCAGCACTGAACGTGACACTGCCACAGGGCAGTCATGGCTCTAACAGGGACCAGCACCGAAGGTGACACTGCCACAGGGCAGTCATGGCTCTAACAGGGCACCCAGCACCGGAGGTGACACTGCCACAGGGCAGTCATGGCTCTAACAGGGCACCCAGCACCTGAGGTGACACTGCCACAGGGCAGTCATGGCTCTAACAGGGCACCCAGCACCTGAGGTGACACTGCCACAGGGCAGTCATGGCTCTAACAGGGACCAGCACCGGAGGTGACACTGCCACAGGGCAGTCATGGCTCTAACAGGGCACCCAGCACCAGAGGTGACACTGCCACAGGGCAGTCATGGCTCTAACAGGGCACCCAGCACCAGAGGTGACACTGCCACAGGGCAGTCATGGCTCTAACAGGGCACCCAGCACCGGAGGTGACACTGCCACAGCACCACCACCCTCGGCTCCACGGAGCACAGGAACCGAAGCAGCCCTGGCTGTGGCGGGCACCTGAGGAGCCCGGGGCACTCACGGCACGTCCCGGACCCGCGGCTGCCCCTCCCCTCCCGTTACCTGCCGCTCTCCCCCCGTCGCTCTTTTCGCCCTCGATGTCGCTACGGCAGCGGGATGGGCTCCGCAGCCCGGTCTCCCCCGCTGCCCCCTCCCGCCCCGGCTCCCGCCGCTCCCAGCGCCCGTTGTGGACGGTGCCGGGCGGCTTCTCCCGTCGCCGCAGTAACGCGAAGGGCGGCAGGGCGAGGCGGGAAGGCGGAGGGCGGCTAGGGCGAGGCGGGACGGCCACGGCGCAAGGCAGGCTTCGGTTAGGGGCTGCCACAGGCTCCGGATGGGTGCCGGAGTGGCGGCGAGGGCTTCCGGGGTCTGAGGGGAAGGCGGAGGGGCTGGGGCAGGGCCCGGAGGGCTCGGGAGGGACAGGGCGGCTGCTGCTTGCTGCGGAGGGAAGGAGCGTGCGAGAGGACCCTGCGGGGCCGCAGGGAGCTGCCGCAGGCACCCCTGTGTCACACGTGTCCTCTGCAGGGCCCTGAGTCCATCCAGCCGCCCATGGATTTGAAGGAAGGTGGAGTGAATTTCACCTCAGGAAGCAGCACCAGGGTAAAGAACATGTAGTTTGCGTTAACGTTAACCAAGTCCAGAGGAGGCCACCAAGATGATCAGGGGACTGGAGCACCTTCCCTATGAAGACAGGCTGAGGAAGTTGGGAATGCTCAGCTTGGAGAAGAGAAGGCTGCGTGGAGGCCTCATAGCAGCCTTCCAGTATCTGAAGGGGACCTATAGGGATGCTGGGGAGGGACTCTTCATTAGAGACTGTAGTGACAGGACAAGGGATAATGGGTTAAAACTTAAACAGGGGAAGTTTATCTCGGATATAAGGAAGAAATTCTTCAGTGTGAGGGTGGTGAGGCACTGGAATGGGTTGCCCAGGGAGATTGTGAATGCTCCATCCCTGGCAGTGTTCAAGGCCAGGTTGGAGGAGGCCTTGGGTGACATGGTTTAGTGTGAAGTGTCCCTGCCCCTGGCAGGGGGGTTGGAACTGGATGATCTTAAGGTCCTTTCCAACCCAAACCATTCTATGATTCTGTATATCATACTATATATTCTATACATCATTCAAGAACTCAGTAGGCAGGGTGTGTTTTTTTTTTTGTGGGTTGTAGAAATTTTCCTATTTTTTTTTTCTTTCAAAATGCTATTATTACTAGAAAGGGCTCAACACAACCTTTTCTTCCTGCATGACTAGCTATACTGCTGTAAAATGGCTTCAGTTTTCCAGATTATTGTGCACACGACCTGGGTTTGGGTGACACTTCTCTACACTTTTGTTGGCTTCAGTCTGCCTTACTCAACAATAGAACACATTTAAGAATCACAGCTATTTCAACTTTTGTACAGTAATAATTTGTGCTTCCAAACTTAGGGTTTATAGATGTCTTCAGACTCCAGGGATTTTTTTTCTGCCAGGACAGTACAATTCACTTTGTATTTATTGTCCTAAAATTGCATGTGGCATTTTTGGGAGCTGCTAGTCTATTTATGCACACTAAACTTTGTGCTTTTGGTTTGTTTTGCTTGGACTGTTTACTTATATTAGCCAAGTGAACTGCATTTTTAATACCAGTTCTAAGGCATAATCTATTTCATTTAGTTCCTACCTGCTGTGCTGAGGCAGATGGTTTTCATGTCAGCAGAAATCCTGTTTCAAGCTATGAATTATGAAAAAAGTATTTTTAAATGAAAGAGTAAAATAAAATTACATTCAGAGTTTCAGGAAAGCTCCTGGTAAAGTTTGCTTACTGTAGAAGATAATTGACAATTTTCCCTTGTTGTTTTCTTAAAGATCACTAAAATTGGTTTTATTTTTGCTTTACACTTTATTTTCGTGGCTTTATTTCATTTCAGGAATATCCCAGGGACACTTCAGATCTTTCCTTTTCAGGAGCAGCTGCAGGATGAGGTCAGGCGAGCCCTGATCTGATGTTAATGGTGAGGTGTAGGGCAGTGCTCTCGCCAGCACAGCTCAGACCCATAGCACCCAGCCAGAGATAGGGATGGTAACCAGTGTCCACCACAGCCCGTGGTGATGGGCAGGTCTGAGGTGACTCTGGAAGGCAAGCCAGCAAAAGTAGAGAGTGAGGTGCAGTGCTGAACACAGGCATAGTTACAGCATTGCTCAGATGGGGCCCAGGGGAACAGCCCCGAGCTGAAATGCTGCTCCTGACCCGAGGGCATCTCACACACAGCACCCTGCTGCTCTTTCTTGTAGCAGGATTGACCCCAGGTTATGGCTACACCATGTCAGAGCTGATCTTGAGGTCATTAGGGAAGAGGGAAGGAAGTTGTGGGACCTGTTTGCTGCACTCAGAGCCCTGAAAACATTTTCTGCATTACATTTCTTTAATTACACTTTTCTTCATTATTTACTTACTATAATAGAAATAATGCAAAGCAATCTCACTGAAACATTTGATTTTTGATAACCTGAAATGTTCCAAGTAAAATTTCTTCTACTCTACTGTTTTAAGCTATTTAAAAAAATGAAATTTAGTTTGTATTATCTTAAATACTTAAGTTTATATTGATTTAAAGTATTATACACTAGAGATAATTTTTAATGTAACTGCCAGCAGATTTCCATTTGCTCATTTGCAGCAACTGAGGTGAACTTTTCAGCCATATTCCCAGTGCATATATTTTAATTTCTTCCCTGTCTCATCATCTCTCAGTGGTAATCAGTTATTCAGAAATGCAACTTCCATCTGTCAGGCCCAAATAGAAGTGGGGGAGGTGGGCAACTTAAAAAATATACAGAAAAAATTGCATATCAACATTTCCAAAGCTTTTTAGAAGGACATATCCACTGCCATTAGCCAGAGTTGTGTTTCTAATGCCCTGATGTGTCTTTAAATACCTCATTCACTCTATTAAAAGAAGTCCCATATCAGAACGTTGACATTTGCTATTTGCTTTTGCGCATCCACATCCTCTCTTGATTAGAGCTCGTCTTATGAGGTGCAAAACCTTTCTTTGTTGGCCTTAAAGAACATGCTTTACAAATTATGATAGCCAGCAAATGCCTAGAAAAATACTGTAAAATCAGCTTATAGATCAAAATTAATGGAAAGCTATAAGCACATTTCTGCAGAAAAAAAGGAGGTAGATCAGGGCAGGGACACAAGAGAGTATGACCAAATGTCAAACGAGACAAGTTGCAACATTGATATTCATATAAAACCAACAGGAGTTAGTTAGGAAGATGCCTTGCAGAGAAATCTAGATAGATTGAAGCATTGTGGTATAACGAATGGGAATAAATTTAAGAAGTTGAAACGCTGGATTCTGCACCTAGGATGGAGTAACAGTGAGCATGAGTATAAACTGGGGGAGGAGTGGCTGGAGAGCAGCCCTGCAGAAAGGGATCTGGCGGTGCTGATTGACAGCAGGTTGTGAGAGTCAGCAATATGTCCTGGCAACAAAGAGGGCAAAATGCATCCTGGGGTTCATCAAAGCTAGCCAGCCAAGAGATGATTATCTGAAGTCTTCCAGATGTGTTATTTTTGTAGTGCAAAATGTAATGGTAGGTAAAAGTTAAGTGCATTTGTGTATTTAAATACAGTTTTTATTTAGAGGATATGTTCATACCTCACCTTGCAATCTTGGATGACTGATTTGATTGAATATTTTGTTGAAGTAGGCTCAGTGTAGCTCTCATAAGAAATACAATCATTCCTTCAGCATAGAAATCACATGGGTTTAATGGTATTTATGTGATGGATTCGTAGAAGCTGTACATTAGTTTAATAATTACATTCTGTACGTTAGTTTGGATGTTTATGAACATAGCAACTTAATTTACAGAAGCTCTGTTGGAAGTGACAGAAAAGAAAGGGAATAGCTCAGCATAAACCATCCATCAACAAATATGCAGAAGTCACTGAGAGACAATAAAGCCTACAAAAAATCCCTAAGAAATAAGCAATAAGAGAAGAATGACATTTCAAAAAGAACCTTTGAAAGAGGGATTTCTGTTTCTGAAAATTAGGCATGCATAAAATCTGCCTGAGGATTCTGAAGGTGCCTAACTAATTTACTGGCAGGAGGTGATAAATCCTGACATAATACAGACATAGAGGCAGCTAGATGTCTCTAAATGTTTTGTTTCTAGTTTAAACTGAAAACTACTCTTTTCATAAGCAGCTTATGAAATCACTGAAGGGAAGAAGAGAAAGAGCTTGGATTTAATTGGATTTGCCAGGTAAACCGATTGATAAGTCATACTGTAGGCTGGGACCTTACCTAAAAGTGGAGAATTGTAAGAATTTATCCTGTGATAGGAAACATGAAAATTAAGGGTATTGCTCTGAGAGAATGCAGAAAGGGGATAAAGGTGCCATTAGATCTGTTTCTATGACAATTACAAGTTAATCTTTCTGTGTCAGTCTTTAATGATGCCAAAAATTAATCATAGACTCATAGGATCATTTAGGTTGGAAAAGACTTTTAAGATTGTTGAGTCCAACTAACACTGCCAAGTCCACCACTAAACCACATCCCTAAGTGCCACATCTACATGTCTTTTAAATACTTCCAGGGATGGTAACTCATGTCCCTGGGCAGCCTGTTCCAATGCTTGACAACCCTTATGGTGAAGACATTTTTCCTAGTACCCAACATAGAACTCCCCTGGCACAACTTGAGGCCATTTCCTCTCATCCTATCACTTGTGACTTGGGAGAAGAGACCAGCACTCACCTCACTACAGTCTCCTGTCAGGTAGCTGTAGAGAGCGATAAGATCCCCGCTGAGCCTTCTCTTCTCCAGACTAAGCACCTTCAGTTCCCTCAGCTGCTCCTCATCACACTTGTGCTCCAAGCCCTTCACCAGCTCTATTGTCCTGCTCTGGACCTGTTCTGGCATCTCTGTGTCTCTCTTGTAGTGAGGCACCCAGAACTGAACACAGGATTTGAGGTGCAACCTCACCAGTGCCCAGTACAGGGGGACAATCACTGCCCTGGCCCTGCTGGCCACACTAGTGGTGATACAAACCAGGATGCCATTGGCCTTTTTGGCTGCCTGGGTACAAGCTGCTCATGTTCAGCTCTGTCAGTCAGCACGCCCAGGTCCTTCTCCGCTGAGCAGCTTTCCAGCCAATTCTTCTCCAAGTC